AGTTTATGTCAATTCTCTTCAACAAAACATCCTGACTAAAGACAGACATTTTTAAGATTGTTTTCAGAAATGATAAAGTTCCAGCTGAGCTGGGTCTTGCAAAGGAATCAAAACAAGCAGTTCTGACTCTTTTGCAGAAATAATGCTGAAAAAAGTATGCAAACACAGGGTCTCTGTCACAGGTACTTGCACTTTGTGAGACTAAATCCTTTTCATGTTCAGAAAGTGTCAATACGCCAATAGTAAGAGCTCCTCAGCAGACCAGATGAGAACAAAAATCATTACTTCAAACTGAAAACCAAATTTGAAGGCTTTTGCTATCTGTATTTGAAGGGGCTTTTAAGTATTTGAAGGGGCTATTTAAAATCCCCTTCTGAAGCCTGCATTAGTGCATCTCATGGTTCTTCTTTACCCTAGCATATTTGACTACCTCACAAACATTATCCTTTCACTTTTCAAGAAGCCTCTACAAAAAGAAGCTTTTCTGTGGAACTGTACTCTTACCAGAACTATTCTTTGACACATATATGTATACATTAATATATATGATTATTAAAACCTTTTGAAAGAAAAAAAAAAGTTATCGAATATTTTTAGTACACACAAAGGACTAAAAAACCTTGAGACTGAACTGTAAGCTTGCTACCACACTCACTATTCCTGTAATGAACGTGCCATTACAATTACAGAGGCTGTTCAGCAAGTAACACTAAATCTGTATAGAAAATACGTACTGACAACACAATAATACCTAAATGTAAAATGAAATACAATTTTGATGGAGATTTTCAAGATGCTTTAATTATATTGTGTTAATTATACATGTGTTAAATATATATTATATAAGGTTTTCAAATACTAATTTTGGTGAATTCTATCTTCTTCAATTTTGGTCTTTTATAAAGACATTTTTGCTATAGCTTGTTTAATTTGAAAAGATACGTGGAATGTGTTTCAGTTGTAAACAAACAAACAAACATACCTTCCTAACATCTGAGCTTTTAGGTTCTGTGGTCCAGGTGATGATCCGAGACACTGCTAACCTAGTTTCACTTGAATTTACAAAATCTCCTGGATCCATCTGCTGTGCAAGCGTCTCTATGTATTTAAGGATTGCAACTTTGACCTGCAAAGAGAAACAGAGTCAGATGGACAATAAAAACGGTGTGCTACAAGAACAAGCCTGCTCACAAAACAGGATGCTCATTCCCTAGAACAATCAAGCCTTTTTATTTTTAACTAAACCAACGATTTACAATGCTTCTAGAAATTCTTTTAGAAAATAACCTAACTTTCTTGAAGAAAGTCCTTATTCAGCACTTGTATTGAAACTCTAAACAGTCACTTTGCAGATGAGCATAATTTTTCAAGAAAGGAGGTTTACCCACAAACTCATCTTAGTTTTCACTAGTAGCAACTAAAGAAACACAAATGTTTGCATATGCAGAAGTTAATATTAAACAACCAAGCAGAAAAATAAAGTACTCATAATATGTAAAAGTACTCATAAATTAAGAACTGCTTGGAATTGAGAATTTTTTTCAAGTACTAAAATGGAAAATAAACATCATCTAATGAAGAAACTTCCTATTAGAATACTGCACAGTTAACACTCAGTACCCTTTAATGGCAGAAAACAGTTCTACATTAAGTATCTTTGGGGATAAGCCAAATGAATATATTAATAATGTTTGGATAGACTTTCTATAAAACACTTCTTGAAATGGGTCATGCATACTTATCCATTGAAGATATTTAGAAGAGAGTCACAGATTTACCAGGAGGACAGAAGAGACTCTTTACTTCCTCACACATCTAAACATCCTTCTCCTATTCTACAAGCTTATGCAAAAGGACCAGTTGATACATCCCACACTACAGCCTTTCTCTAGCTTCTTCAAAACTGCATCACTGCACAGCCAAAAAGGCAGCTTGTTATGTCCATATCTCCCTTGAAAAATCCCCTCCTTAGCAGCTCATACTCCAGGGAACTGTTATGCAACCCAACTGAAAAACAAGCCAACAACCCACAGGTAACTTGCTTAATTTTCAGCTGTTTTTGTTTCCTTTAATAACCACACTGAATGAGAAACACCCATCAGGGAGACCCCCACACCTTGATCAACTACAAAGAAATAATGTTCTGGACATATTTAACTGTCCATGCCTTGCACTTGTAGCAACTGCTCTGACCAGAGCTATTTCAGTATTTTCCTTGGTCATCAAATTCTTCAAGCTGTTAAAAATTCAGCAAGATGCACTTAGTAATACACATTTCTGGTAGCTCACACATGTAGGTTAGTACTTCATTTTCACACATTAAAGCTCGACTTTTCCAAAGTCATATGACAACCAATAGCTAGAGATTTGTGTTTTACACAAGCCCACACTGACACATATACACACTACAAAATCTCAGCTAAAGGTCTATTTGTTGATTCTTCTTGTAAGTACTTTAAAAGTACTTACTGGTACACCTCAAAAAAACCCACTACTCGCAATAGCAACGCTTAAAACATGCAGAGGCATATTTTATAATCAAAAATTATCACGTATAATATCTGGGAAAGCTGGAATATTCAATGTTGAAAGTATTGCCATAAAGTAAATTCACGCAGGCTTCTGCAAATGTGGTAGCTCTCACGAGACAAAAGACCACTGAATGGAAGACAAAGATTTCTCTCAAATGAGGCAGTATTATTGATTAAAAGAAAACAAAACAAAAAACTCACTGAAGTAAACTCCATGATAGCAGCAAAACTACTATGGATCTTTTCTTGACACTATTTCAGACGAGTAGGTGAGATGCAGTAACAAAAAGTATAACACAGTACTTTCTTAAATAGTCTAGTTGATCTAACTGAGAGATGAGATAAACAAAACTCCTGACTGCCATGTACGCAACTCCAGGAACTCGTACATGACTGCTTGCTCTTAACCTGAAGGCACCACCTATGAAGTCGTTCAATGCTTAGGGAGCAAGATTTCCTCAAACTCAATGATGTTTCTTTGCACTCCTTAGGCCGAGTTTATTGTGTTTTTCTTGGACTATGAACACTGAGCCAGTAAACAACTTTCTTGTACAACATGTAGTAATACAAGCAGCTTTCTTAATACCAGGACTGCTATATTAAGTGATCTGAAACACAGTATGCTACAATTAGCACTGTTACTCAAAAAAAAAAAAAGCTATAAACACAACTAAAGCATTTCATAGCTATCTTTCACAGATAATGAGATGACTAGCAGAAGAATATCCTAGGCAATTCCATCTCCAGACTTTTAGAAGGTTATTTATAAAGATGCTACAATCAGGGCCAGAGGCACTTTTTTTCTTGTTCTGTGAAAAACGGGGGCTTACAGAGGTTCATTTGCTGTACCGGAAAAAAGTAACTGAAGTAACACGAAGAAGGCAAGGAAAGAGGAATTCAGAGAACTTGCTTTACTTAAAAGAGTCAAAAGGTAATCTCTTATAGCACTTTTTCTGGGATATCAGACTCTCCCCAGATCTCTGCTTTCCCTTACTCAGAGTGAAGGGACAATCATACAAAGTGACCTTCAGACTTGCCCTTTCGAACTCCTACGTTTCAGTGATTTGGAAGAGTCATCTCAGCTGCTGCTTCATCAAGTGATTAAAACATCCTCTAAAGATCAACTTCATCAGGAACCATTACCCATTCCAGTCATTTTATTTTTTTTTTCAATGCAGAGATTTTAACATGGACTTAGGAGAATCTCATCAAAACAGTTAATGTTCTCTCCTTTAAAAACAAAACAAAACAAAAAAAAACCACCCGCCCAACCCACTCATTTCCATACATAAATCGAACCGAAATAGATACGTCAATCTGATACCTCTAACTGCATCTCAGCAGATCACCACACACACGTGTAAAACGACAAAAAAAGGCGGGGAGCACGAAATGCCCTGGGGGCCTCCTCCATGGAAAGGGTCAACAGAAGGCACCTTCCCTGTGGTTAATTCCCCTACCGACTGGCTCTGCAAACCCACCTCTGCGGCCACTCTAGAAGTGTCACATCTATTCTTCAAGACTTACAGTTTTGTGTGTAAACAGAACAGCTAAAACTGCCACTTACTCCAAAGGGTCATGCTTACGCATCACTAGCACAGGAAAAGCAGTGAAAAAGGGAAATCTTCCACGGAAGTACATTTCTGGATCAACTATCTTTTTCTCCATCTGACTGTATCTAAAGATACTGTAAATCCTTTCTCTTTTCTGCCAAGAGGGAGCACTGTTTCCCATCATATCTAGTCCCAAAGCACACGCTGCACAAGAAGAATCTCTCATTAGGAACAAAAGCTGAAGGACTCATGAAATGGAGCAGTGCATCTCCTAGGATTATCTATTTAAACTGTTGGGTATCCAAGGGCACTGAGGATGGGATTTGGACAAAACATTCAAGGACAGAGATACTAAATAAATACTTTGGCAATTTACTTTCCATAACTTGACTACCTGGATCCACCAGCTACAGGTGGCTTGGAAAAGACATAAGCAGGGCGTGGGCAGTAGTTTTTGGAAGAAAGGTTCCCTTCTCTTAACGGGCTACTTATTTTACTGTTCCAATATTTAAATGTTCTTGGTTTTATTTCAAATTATGAGATGTTCTTTCAAGAAGGTTGTTTTTTTCGTTTTGTTTTGCTTTTTCAAACAATAAATTCCCTTTCAAACACTGGAAATAATTTCCAGACTATATACTCATCAGACATCAGATTTCTTAGTTCTTTCTGTGTCACAAACTGAATATTCTTGACCTTGACTCCAAGCTCAGCCTAACAGGAGTCCACATCTCCTTTCAAATCAACAGTCTCATCTTTAAAACAAGACCAATTAATGTGTAGCAACAATAGCATTATGTTGGAAAAAATGAATGTCTCAACCACCAAATTCACCTTTCTAAGGAGGGACATCAAACAAAACGAAGCCAGATTTGTTCCAAATATTTATTTAAACAAGCTAATTTTTACTACCTCATTTACTGTCTTCAATAAATGACAGCAGTCCCTTTACAACACAGCTCTACGAAGCAACACTGGTCAACGTATGAACTGTCCTCAAAAGCTTAAAATTTAAGTTTTACTGTATTGTAGACAAAAGAAAAGGCACATTCATGTGACTTTAGTTACATATCATCTGGAAAAAGTCATATTCATGTGCAGGATAAAACTACGTAAAAATATTTCGTGCAGGATAGAGCAGAAAACACCAGTTATCATATGCTTGTTATTTCCCCATTTATCTCCCTTGAAAATCTTAGAATTTGCTTCATTTACACTAAAATCAAATCTTTTTGGAACTGTAAAGGTACTACAGAATTCACTTTGTTTTTCAGGCGTGGTGGCAGATCTGTGGCCTAATGATTTTTATCATTTAAAAATGTCTATACACATATAGCCACACACAGTTTTCAGAAAAGTAAATGTACCATAAGGGCAGCTTATTTTGACTTAACACCTGAGGTTCATATTAACGCTAGTTTCATTTAAGTTAATTCAAAATCTATCAAGCTAGTTAAAAACATGTGAAAAATTATCCACAAGCTAGGAAAATAGGATTGGGAAATCACAAACATAAAATTAGAAAAGACTTGATAGAGTAAGTTTGCATAACCAGCTTGATGTTAGGCGGCCATATTTTTGTTGCTCATTTTTACTGCACTGTGGTTTTATTAGATTGCTCTTGCAGCCAACAGTCTCATAATAGTGTAACATTTAAAACTGAACATTTGCATGCTTCGAGTTTCTTGCAGAGGTTAGTACCAGCATACGAATGCATTCAAATAAAAATTATCAGAAAAACTGTAGAAGTTTGACATAGGGTTAAGAATAAAGACAGTAATTCAGACAAAAACCTTGGAGCTCCAAAAAGAGCGAAGCTGGTCCTGTAGTGCTGGCTTGACCGTCTGCAAGTTTACAAAAACAAAATCCACTAATTGAAAAACTTTCTTAATAGAAAAACAATCCAAATTCAAATATTAAGTTTGGAAATCATTTATCAATGAATACTTCGTCTGCAATGCGATCCTGAAAATTCTTACCTTCAGGCTAGGTGTTTGAGTCTGATCAACAGTAAATCTCATTAAAATACTGAACTGAAGATCGTTTGGAAAAGATTCCCTGTGAAATAAAGAAATTAGGCAAATTGTCAGTTACATGAGATTTCCTTTTGATATCTATTTGGAGATACTAACTTCCCCTCCTCCCAAACACAAAGGCTTTATCATTTCTAGAAGAAAAAAAAGCACATCTAAATTTTGTTGACATTATGTATGATTTTCAGAAACACTGAGCTAGTAGGCAATTTTTTAATAACTATTGGTTTCAACAAATTATAGATAGATGAAAAAACTCAAAAAATAAACAGATGATATAACAATGATATGGCATTATTCTGATTCTAAGTGTCTGCAATTCCAACAATTCAAAAATTATTATTCACTAGTAAACCTAAAGTATTTAAAACACTGTGCGTGTCTTGGCTACCATGCAACAGTGTTTATCTGCCTTTACTCTCCCTCATTTCACACTCTAAGTACTAGCGTTAGGGCCTTCGCTGCAGCAGGCAGAAAAAGGAGATGCAGCTGATATTCCCCCTGCCCACTCAAGGCCAACCCCTCCCCACGTTTCGCAGCAGACCTGCCACGTGGATAGGCTCAAGAGAGGCCTAGAACGGGTAAGCAGTCCCGTACATTGGAGAATGGAGGGTGAGAAGTAGGTACCTGAGCACTTTCACTTCTACTTGCAGAACTGGCTTTCACTTGGGCATAAAGTTGGCCAGGATGAGGCCCAGCTCTGTTACTGGGGATCATTTTGGGAATCGGGAGATTAGTAAAGTGGGGAAGGTGGAGAAAAGAGAGGAAGCAAATCCTATATTGTCACCTTACTTCTTAAAATCTGTCTGACCTTTTAAGAGATCAATACTGCAACAATATTGATATCAAAAAACACACACAAAAAAATCAAAAGTACTGTATCACAAAAACAAAGTTAGACACTAAGCATATGTAGCTCAGATGCATACTTTCAAATCAGAAATTTAGTATCATGTAATTTTTTCAGTATTAAAGCTTCAAACCCTTTGAAATAAAAGACATTTTGGAAACCCAAACACTTAAGGAGCAAGGCTTGCTCAAGCTTCACTACCTGTTGTAAGCTCTTTGTTGTTGCAAGAACCTCACAACACACTAAATAAAAAAGATACTTGGAAATATTACTTTAAAAGCAACAACAACAAAAAACACTCATTACCTTGTGACATCAAGTGCCTTCTGAACTTTTGCCTGCACAGAGCCAAGCAAATCAGCCCCCATTTTTTTCAACAGCTGTGTCAGCAATACAAACAGCCAGTCCTGCAGATCCTCCTTATGGACCTGGATGAAGTCCACGAGTGTCTCCAGAAACATGCTGAAAACCTAAAAGGCAAAAGAAGATGCAAAGAGGGTAGGATGGGGCAAAAGAGGAAGCGACATCGACATGTGCTTTTTTACAAACAAAGAAAGCAGCAAGGGAATCAGAGGCAGAGAAAGGCAGTGCTTTGCAGCCAAGCAGGGAGGGAGAAAAAAGAAAAATAAATCTGCCTTGCTTTTTCACTGGACTTGGATACAAGAGTATATTGGAAACGTTAGCTGATTTCTGTAGAAGTTTGACAATTAGGTATTCCATGCAGTATCGTCCAGAAAAGAAATGCTTACTGTGATGGCTGGCGCAGCCTCAATTTTTTTTCAGTAAAACTTAATTTCTCACCCTCTCAAGCTTTATCTTTAAGTCAATTTTACATATCCCACAAAGACTACAAAAACACCTTCTCTCCTTAAAACTGAGTTACTTCAATGCTTTAGCTGAATATTCATTGTAAATATTTGCACTACTAAATACTGCAAGATCAAGGAAGCACGACCAGTTCCTTTCCATAAAACATTTGTAGAACAGAATGAGATTCTCCTGCTATTGCAGGTATTCAAACACATGACCACTGTGTTTATAGTCATCTCGGCTCCAAAATCAGGAAGAAGGGCTTTTTGGAAGGAAGGGCATAATAAATGGCTAGCATCAACCAGTAAGTAAAGAGTTTATTTTTTTCTCCTTGTTTTTTAAGTATCTCTAATTTTAAAGACTTAGGGTGAAATCATAAACTGTATGCTCTGCGTCAGCATGGTGTTCCTGTCTTTCGGGCAAGGGATGCAGAAGTCTGGGCTAAAATCGCTGCCCCTAAAGCCCCATTTCCTCCAGCAAATAGCTGGGCACAGAAGTACCTCTGCTGTTACAACTGAAAGAAGGCTGGGGCCATGTGGCCTCCTGAGTATTTATGTTACGGGTACTAAGTAGGAACTAGCTTCTGCCGGGGAAGGGCTGGATCTAGATCCTCCTGCAGGTAACCTGTCTCAAGGCCAGTTGTGCTGTTGTCTGCTGGTTGATCCCAACCTGCAATCACACCTTGCAGGGCTGCAGAGACCAGACTGCCAAAGCGGCCTTTGCTCCACAACGCTCCTCTTGCAGGAAGGCATAACCCTGCCTGCCCTCGTGGAACTGCACCACTAACTTCTCATCTTGACAGTCCAGCCAAGGTGAGAAATTTACATCACAAAGTGAAAAAAAATTATACAGTTAGCTTAAAAAGTGCTTCATTGTTTTTTATTGAAATCAGAAAGGAAATTCAGATTCTTTCAAGATCAGAGAGAACCTTTTCACAGGAGCTCTCAACATTGAAAAATCGTTTTAGACACAGAAGAAAACAAGTCCTACTTAACATAAAAACCATCAAGATGAGCTACTTTAAATGACTGTGTTTAGGAGCAAACTACATTGATGATAATTAAATATATATATACACACACACACACATATATATATATAGCTCCACAGCTATCCTTCAAAATTTGTATTGTAACCTGAGGTAACAACATGAGGTAAAAACCCTTCCAGTAGTGTAAGAAATTCATGCTCACGATGCAAATGGCTTCTGTATTTGGCTAAACCAAAATAAATAAATAAATAAATAAAATTACTTTGTGAATGAACAAGCAGTGGGCACAATGATAGGACTTAAGCAAAACCAAACCAAAACAGCTTTCTGTATTCCAAAATGATTGTGTTTGGGTTTTATAGGCCTAAACATGGGTAAAAAAAACCCACACTGAATTCAAATAAAAAACAAAAGCAGAAAATCTCCTAATAAAAGTTACACTGGAGACCTTACAACTAGAAGTAAAACTTCTCCACCGTATGAGGAAGAACTTCTTTCCTGTGAGGGTGACAGAGCCCTGGAACAGGCTGCCCAGGGAGGTTGTGGAGTCTCCTTCTCTGGAGATCTTCCAAACCCACCTGGATGCCACCCTGTGCCACGTGCTCTGGGTGTCCCTGCTGGAGCAGGGGGGTTGGACTAGATGATCTCTAGAGGTCCCTTCCAACCTCAACCATTTTGTGATTCTGTGATTCTCAAATGGTTAAGAAATCGAATTATTCAATGAGTACACTTACAGACACTGCCTGTTTCTTTTAATCTGCTGGCACTTTGATACACAAAACCTTTTTATTTAAAAACGTCAAACTGAACAAACTGGTCACATTGTATTTGATGGAATGAGGCATAGGCCTTAAGATGATTTAAACATAGAAGGTAGTTTAAATGAAAATCATTATGAAGTGAATTATGAATCACTATGGCAAAAGTGCTTCAAAGATCCTGTGCTAATTTAAGCTGTTAAAAATGATGCAAACCTTTAAACTGATCAAAAACACCTTAGTAACTCATTACTGAATATTTGTTCGCGCATTCTTTTGATCTTAGCTCCATCACACTGGGTGTCTGGATAAAGATTAACATGCATGCTATTTTTTTTCTTTCTTTTAAGTAATACCTTTATCCAAGCCAAAAATACAAGAAAGCTATAAGAGCATCAAAGTAAAGGATGAATTTGGAATGGAAAAATGGAACTCAACCATCTTTAAACTCAACAATGTATGTGGGTACTACACTTTTTGTAGTTTTCATTTTTATGATGAAACTTAAAATTCTTTTAAGCTTGAAATTTGTAATAATTTGATAGTGGAAAAATAAACAGATATGAAAATAATTACAACTGATCTACCCTTGAAGTCAACTATTTCAGATGTGCCAACCACCACAATATAAAGCAGGAACGCATAACCAAAGAACATCAGTTTAATTAGTAGATAAAGCACGTCTCAAAACTTTACCACACGGTTTACATAATTGTGTATAGCATTTTATGATTGCAAAAGGCTTGACACTGCATGAACTCTTGGGGGAAGAAAAATAGAGAAAACGGGTTAATTGCACATACATGCAGATAAGGTTAGGCTTCCAACAAATATTGAACCAACTTACTCTCTAAAGAGAGTTCCAACACAGGGGACGGCATGCAAGAAACCCAAGGAAACAAAGAAACAAACAAAGAAACAACAGCAACAACAACAACAAAAAAAAACAAAAGAGGGAAAAAGATAAAAACACACAAATTAGTGGCCATCAATACAAAGTTCCTGTATGGAAGACAAAATAAAACAAAACAAAAAAGGTACTTCAAAGCTTTTATAACAAATTTAGTAATCTTATTGGTATACCCAAACTATTTCAGAAGTACTTGGCACTGCCTTTAGATCTCTTCCCATGCTCCTCTCCAAATTACATTTACTCTATCCTTCAAGTTTACTCCCTGCATCCAGCTATCTTGCCAACATAAACCCTTTAAAGGAACAAAAAAGACGGCAGTAATTCCTACAGATACTTTGCGGGGGAGGGATTAATAGGAGATTTGCGAAACCATACAGAAATGTGAGGGGAATAAATTAAGTCACAGCTTATCACCTTTAGTTGAAGAAATATCAGTAATTTCGCAACACCAAAGAGCATCCAAGCTTTCAGTGACTGGAAAGTGGACTGCTAACAATACTGTTCCCACATAACAGATGGCAAATATTAGAATTCAAAGTGACATAAGTTATCTCAGAAAAGCCCATAAGCAGAAGGATTATCAAATGGACCGCAGTAATTCAATATAACATTAATAAATGATTAATGAAAATCTAAGCTCTTGTGACACACCAAAATCTGCAATGGTTTTACTGCATGCCTCCCCCGATAACACACAAGAATCTCAATGGGCTGTACTGATGGCATGAGCAGTGTATTAACCAAGAATAAACAAAATTAAGCAAAGCTGCTATGGGTGATTTCGTCAACACCTGATTTGGAAACTGATAACATTTCAATATATTTTTTTTCCCCCTCCTCTGGTTTAAATGTTCCATCTTTCTACGGCATGTTGTCTTTCATTTCTCATCGTTTCTCTTTGTCTTTTTGAATTCTGTGAATTTTGAAGTCTGTGAACAAATTTAGGATAATTTTGCTGTGTGAAATGCAAGTCTCTTCCAAAATACACTGTGTCACAGATAGCTAGGTCACTCTTGCTCACAGAAAAAAAATGATGGCACAACATCACTAAGTTAACCTGTCAAGACTTGGTATCACTGAGCTCAGTTTTCAATCAGAGCAGTAAGGAAGATTAAACATGTACAATGCTTCACATAATTAAAGTCATTTTTGAGAATTCTGTTCATAAAAGCCAGTAGTTGTAATATAGCTTTGCTCTGGGTTACTACTCTCACGTTCTGAAATGTGGAGAGAAAGTCATGTTTTAGATATAAAACAATTTTGAGGTTTCTTCCAAAAATGCCTGCAACTTGAGGTAAATTCAAAGTTACATGCAATACCATGATAACTTTGTTTGGCTCTGTATTTACCTGTAGTTCTTGTGTTAGCAGAAATTATTGCAATACATAATATATACACATATGAAGTTGCTGTAGTAGCGCACCTCCCGCAAAAGTTTTAAAAATATGACCAAGAAATGGTAACTCAGTTAAAAAAATTAGAAAACGAGAATTATTTCTGTGGTTATGACCTATGCTTGCTGTTTGCCAAGGGAAAAGGAATAAAACAGCACGTTTGCTTTTACTACTGACAGTGACACACACTCCATCTTACTGAAGATTAACAATGGCATTAAGACTATTCAATAGTCTCAACTGCCAGGCTTACATAGGAAACTTAAGGAAGATATCTTCAATATGCAATAAAAGATATATATTTCTTTACTTTCCAGACTATCTATTTGGTATAGTTCCTCAGATTCATCATGCGCTACTTACTCATAACACTTTCTTGATAATTTAAACTACTGCGCTAGGGCTTTTTGTTTCTAATCGAGTGAAAACCATTAGTCAGATTGACACAATCTCTATAAGCATCACAGCTTAAAAGAAAAAAAAAGTCTAATTTTGAACACTGACACTGTGACACTACTTTATCCTTCCATTCACTGGAATAAATCTGCAAAAAGTAAAGTGGAAAATTACATTCTTTAAAATCTCGTATCATGAACTGTTTAAGTAGCAGTAACTGTTTAAGTTGTGGAACTTATACACGTGCAGACAGTGCAGGCAGTATGTTTTCCATGTTTACTACAAGTAAGAACCTAAACATACCTTACTGTGAGGATCAGCAAACATCCTTGTGAAGATTTCACATAACCTTTTCAATTCAACACGACTGTCAAAGTGATAACAAGACATTAGTCAATTCTCCCAGTACTCTGCATACCGTAATGCACAGCAATCAGTAACATCAACTTAAGTACTGAATCCAAATAATGCAGTAAATTAAGTTTTAAAAAGCACTTTGTCTAAGGTGAGTATTAAAAAAAAAAAAAAAAGTAACAGCGTTTAAATATGACTTTTAATCTGGATTTAATTCATATATTGATTCATATATTGTCTTTAATTCATATATTGAACCAGGGCAATGCTCCTTTTAAATTTCTGTTAACGACTACCTAAATGTAGAGCAGATGATGAAAAGGACTTTTAGAAACTATCTTCCTCTGAATAAATATCCTATCGAGTTAAGCCTTCCATCACCACTGTAAGCAACCACTTTGCCTATACAAATTTCTTCTTATTCTAAGACAATCTGATTTTAAAACCCATTTGTTAAACTGAGCCTTTTAAACAAGTCCTATATACTAGAGGCCAGAATGGAGGCTAGTTTCCTCAATCCTTCCCCATGGTTACTCTTCCAGACATATCCCACTTTTGCTCTTCCCATTCTCCTCCCTTCTTCAGAGCCCTAGCCTCCTTACCTACCTTCCTTGTTTTCCTTCAATCTTTAAGCAAAAAATGTTTTTCTAACAATGCAGTTTCTTACCTTAAAGTTCTCTGATTTTTTAATAAATTCTGCAGACCTAGAAGACCTTCTTTTCTCTCAGACCAGTTGGTGCTTGCACAGCGATTTAGGACTTCTGCCACATCTTCTGTCTGTCTCATGTATGTTGGGATGCTTCCGTTGCGAGAGCTGTAGGACCTTTCTGAACAGGCACTTGATGCATCACTGTTGGCATCATCGTCTGAATACATCCCATAGGACTCGTACCTTCTCCGCACAGGCTTCTTCTGTCATACAGAGACACCCGACATTAGTCACGACTTACAGGTATGTGTGTTTATGATACTTTGCATCAGCAGAATGACCAAAACTTCCAATAATCAGGGTGACTCCTACTCCTTTCAAATGGCTCCAATTGTTCAGCAGGTCAAACCAAGTTAATAAAAAATAAGGATTCCAACTATAAAAGCAAACTGCATGCAGAGAAGATATACCTTGATCTAAACATTCAAATCTATTTACTCGTAAAATCCATAACGTTGCATGAGGTAGGATGAAGAGAACTTTATTGAACAACAGTTACTTCACTGCACTTTACATTTATCATTGAATGTAAGAAAAAGCGCTAAAAAGACATATTCTACCATTCTAACTTATGTACTGAAAGTTAACAGTAAAATATTGAACTATTGAAGAAAGAAAATAGTTTCTATACCTTAGTCCGTATGTCTCCTAAGAGCTGATAGCAGTAAATTATTGAAGAGAAACAGAGAAATTGAGAACATGGAGGTAAGGCATAGCAGTACTGTGACTATCATATAACCTGCCACTGGAAAACATAGTACCTTACTGTAAATTCTCTTCCTAGCTCTCAGCACCCAATGAGTATATGGTACGTTCCCCACAAAAGTTCTCCAAATTACCATTTGTAGAAAATTATTACATGGTATCTTCTAGTAGTTTTTCCCCCTAAAAACCTCTGACAAAATCTTGTCTTATGCAGTGTTACTTGGGCTGTAAGTTTTAACACAGGCAGACAATTGCTGCCTGAACAGATAAAATTTAAATGTTGCTTTTCCACCAACTTTTCCATCTCTTTCTATGCAGCTTCATTCTGGCACCTAAAAACCCTTAAATTTTGTCACTGCAAAATTAAAGGATCCCTCAATAGAAACTGCTCAGTACATGACGTAAAAAGTAACTTACACTCAATAGTAAAGGCATACTTGTACATGTAATGGAATAAAGGCATGGTTAAAATCAAAAAAGCACAAACTTTTTTTTTTTTTTTTTTAAAAAAAAAACAAGGTCAGCATAGGAAGGTTTATAAAAACAAAAGAAAAATGTGAAATTTCAAGGATGGCTGGAAAGCTTGTACTTCAGATTTTCACTCACAGGCTGGATCACAGCAATATGCATAAAAAAGTCCAGACCTCGATGCTGTTGCATTTCAAGTCTTTTATATGCAAAATTGGCTGTGAGTCTGTGAGAGGATGACCCTCTGGCTTGAGTGGTACAACTTGCATATCATAAAAAAAAAAAAAAAAAAAAAAAAAAGCAATGCAATCCACATTATTTTTGATTTTTAGTTTACATGGGCTAGGACTCTACATTTTAAGTTTTTTTTTTAAAAAAAAATCTTAGTGGAGGCTCCAGTCTAGGGTACAACAAAAAAGAGCTTCCATAACCAGATTTCCATCTGAATGGAGTCTTCTGTAGAGGGTGATATATGTACAGTTAGAGCACAGAATGCAACCAGACAAGCTAAGACTACTAAAATTTTTTCTTGGTCACATTTTTTTATTATAATAGGTTCCAGTTAAAATACAAACTGATTTTCCCTGAGTGCAAAATAGCAAAATGGCTTTATAAACATTAATACAAACAAGCTCCTATGAATTAACTTAATTGCTTTAACAAAGTAGGACACATTTGAGTCTAAGAGGAGCCCCTGGAAGTATAAACTTCTCCTTGGTTTATACTGGGGAGACAGACTGAATAGAAACATGACAAGTTAAAGTTTGAATATGATAGAAGCATTACAGAGAGTTTTTGTCTAACAGGAATGTAGATATATCTTTTCTACTCTACCCTATCAAAAAGCAATTAAAAAAATAATAATTATACATACTGGGTTCCAGCACTAAGTAGAGTCCCAGATCTCTGCTGAAAGTTTTTTAGAGGTTCACAATTACAGAAAGCTAAAAAAACTGATCAGCCATCCCAAAACCTGTGATGCGGGATATTAAAATCATGTGCCAAGAAGCCAATCAATTGCCAGACTTTATGAACATTGCTGACTTCTCCACAACCTTTTTCTTGAACCCAGTCATATCTATCTATTCTTCAGTTTATTATAGTCTAATTTGTATGTCAAACAATCTTTTTGTTGCAACACTAATAACAAATTCTAGGTAACAGGTAATTGCCAATACATGATGATGTACAAATATCAGATTATAACAAATAATAAAAAATGAAAACTCACAATATCAGCATTCTAAATTAATCAAATAATTCAATTTGCTTATGAAAAAGTCAGACTAACAAGATATCTGAAGCACACTTTTAGCTGCGCTAAGGCACAGAGAAGGAGAAGCCAAGAAAACCCTTCTAAGGAAGTGTAAGGTTAGGAATGTGAATTGCATAACCAGTTAGAAATCCAGAGTTACACTTTTAAAACAAACAAAAAAAAATCTTTGAAAACTGAACAGAGGGCACTGCCAGGCCACTGCTTTAATTCCTCAGCATCACCTTCACATGTGGCTGGACAGAACAGATCCTAGAGCTCTGAGAAGCCTACCCACCACTTCCAGCTATCCAGAATTTTGCCTGGCTGCTGTGGAAAAACACTGGTTGCTGCTACCTGCTCAAGCGGCTCCTTGAGCCACAGCAACAGAACAGCCCAAGCCTGCGGCTTGCCTGCCATGACAACATTCATTCCTCAAAACTTAGAAGTCCCCTATGAAACAAATCCTAGTACTATGCAGCAGCAATTTAGCTGCTCTTTTTTTCCCCTCAGCTAGAAACCAGTAATGAATGACACACTCTTCTGCATATTTTAATAGATAGATGGCAAACATTGTAAGTGGGTGTCCTACTTGAGATAAAGACAAAATTCTTACCAAAGCATCTGCTACTGCTTCTTCCACATCAGACCCTGTGTTGAGGACTCGCATGGCGCTAACGGACGATGACAATCTGCTCGACTGACTGATTCCAAAGCCTGCACCTGTTACAGCAATAAAAACAAATTCCAAAAAAGTCAGAAGAGTGATGCAGGAGATTAATCTCACATTAGCTTAAAAAACCCAAGCAGAAGAACAGTAGAGTAGTTAAAATACCAGATAATTTTATTCTGAACTCTTTAGAAGTGCAGCAAAAATATGAACAAAGTAAAAACCAAATACATTCACCAAAAAATCTATTGTCATTTATTTTTGCCAGCATCCACTAGTTAATATATCTTCTTCATTTTGGGTTTTTATTAGAAAGAAAACAAATACAATTGGAAGGCTACTAGGAATTCTGATTAGAAGGCTACATGCATAAAGAATGCTCTACAAATGCTGAAAAAATATAAAACTCCTAGAAACAGAAAGTCCTTCTGCAAGTAAAAATAAAGTGATTACTGTTACAAAAAGGAATAACATGACGGAGGGTTTGGGAAAATCTAAAACAAACACAGCTACCTAGATTATTAAAAACACAAAATGCAAATTAATGCAAATGGTGGTTTTAAAACTGAACTATGAGGATAACCAAGTGGGTGGGGGAAAAAAAAAAAAACATCCAGGATGACTGCACAGATGACAAAGTGTACTCATCCTTCACCTGCAGCCCCATAAGCATCAGGAGCGTAGAGGGCACCAGTGGATCTGGAGTGATGCCTGGAAGCTGCAATAACAGGATCATTTAAACCCTATCTATTATCACGGAGTCAAAGTACTGCGATAGATGCTTAGATGAGCAAAAGAACATTAATCAAAGAGATTAGCATTTAGCAAATGAAACAGAATGCTAGATGGAAGGAAAAGCTTCAGAAAAGTTCTTAAATTACAGAACAGGCAGGCTTGTGTATACTGGGCATTTCATGTCTTTTCTTGCTAATTAAAAAAATAAAAACTGATTAAAAGCAAGTATAAATTCAAACAAGAAAAAACAGGTAGCCAAATACACACAGAGAATCCTCAGAAATATCTAAAAAAATTTACACTGATACTGTTTTTACACTGCAGATCTAACTGAATCCTCCATGCCTAAGCTAGAGACAGAGCTCAGGTACCAAACACTCATCTGCAAAACGTGAATATTGCACAGACCTAGAGTCAGCAATCGACAATTTGCATTAACTTGTTCTCCCTGTGTGTAGACAAGTCAGCCTCAGTTACAAATCACCACATCGTAGGTAAAAATCTACATTACTGCATTTTGATTAGAAGTTTAAAATAACTTAATGTAAAATCTCATAGTTGCATTTTATGCTTAAAAATCTAAAAAGTGCAATTGAGGTGTGGATGCCTTATACTACCATAGCTCATTAAAATTCTTTAAGGTAATAAAAACTGGGAACCGGGTATCCCTAAGGACGCTTGAATAAAACTGAGAATCCTCCTTTTGGCACTTATATGAAATTGGCTGACTAGAGATCCTAGAGAAGTTCACTCATATTGCTACTATTTCCAGGTTTTTTCCTGCTATTTAGCCAGGTTTAAATTCAGGGTGTTTTTAGACAAGCCATCTTCTTGCTCCATTACACTTAAAATAGAGTCCTTAACTTATGTAGATAAAGCTGGGTTTTGCCACTTTTACCTGAATTCAGATATCCATCCACAATATCAATCCCAGGAACAATTTTATAACTTAATAATCATCCATAAGCACAAATACTTATCTCCTGGACACAAAGAAATAAGATAGAAATCAAGAATTAAGTGAATTATCCTTACTCTGATTAAGATACGAAATTCAAGAGTGATTTGAATCAAAAAACCCCAAGCTGGACAGAATCACACTTGCTCATTGCTTTGTCTGAGTGAACTCCAAGGCAACCTTGAGCCCTGTAAAGGTCCTAGAAATAACACTTTTTTCACTTGAAGGGCTCTAGTTCTTATATAAGAATTAGCATTTTTTTTTGTCAAACTAATCACAAATTAAGTTCCTTAGCTATGGAATTTTGTTTTGTAAATAATATTTTACAGAATACTTGGTTCTTTAGAAAGTATGTCTCAGCATGGAAAGGGAGACAGGATAGAGTGCACTAAAATATAAGCAGAAAGACTGATAGGGCTTTGAACACAAGTAATAATGTAGTAACCTGTAATAATTTTCCAACACCAAGCCCTGAAAATTGAAGATATGATTAAAAAGTCAAATATCAGACATAATTTAAGATGACCCTGCCTCCGTAAATACACAATGTGCATATTCAAATGTTCAATTGAAATGCACAAGAATGGGAGTACTAGATTGGATCAAACGGATCCAATCAAGGAATATTTTTCAAGAATATTCCTTCAAGCCCTCAAATAGGGCAGATTATGCAAATATTTGTTTGTCTAAGCTTCTTTTTTGTTTTAAAAGACAAATCAAAGCAAGGATTATTTATTAAAAAACCTAAATGCTGCATTTTTGGACTAATTTATAGAAGTTTTCCCAGACCGATATTTAGCACTTACTGTATGTAGCAGAAAGAAAAGTAGTTCCACATATATTACAAATCACTTGCTTCTCAAGAGTGGCCATATCTCCCACTTTGTAGCCTTATACTAAGATGCGAGATTACAGAAATATTCATACAAACATATATAAGGGAAGTAATTATGTGAGATTTAGGGCACTTCATGTCCAGAAGGGTACAATATTTGTGCACAAAAAAACAGTGTCCGATGAGAACCAGTTAGAGCATAAATTACATATGCCCTAATCAGGTAAAATATTTTAGTTACAGATATAGAGCTGAAATTGCCTAATCATTCCATTTTCTAACCCTGAAAAAAAACCACTAAGTATCTTCAATGGAAGTTAATTACATCTCATGAAATTAGAAGTGTTAAAACAAGAAATCTTATTAATTTGAGGTACAGCTATTTTTTTTTTTTAAATTAGCTCTGGATGCCTGTATATGCTACACTGCATTTTTGTGCAATCAAATACCATAACCCATTATGTTTGTATAGGTTTTTGTTCTGATGTGTGAACACAGAAATCACGAACTCCATCAATAAAACAAAATCTCAAGTAGCATCATCCCCAATTAACCATCAATTATAATTATTATGGTGTTAGTTTAATATAGATTTCTTTAAATAATGATCAGATTACTGGAAATAAAATGTAAATCAGATCTCACATGCATGCAATTGAATTCAAGCTACAGGGTGACAAAAGTACCAAAGATCTGGAAAACACTGTTAAAAGAGATACATGTATAATTCCAAACAAACCGCCAGCTGTGTTTTAGTAGGAGATAATAGTTTAATAATAGAGCCTGTATAACGCCTGCTTTTAATTTAATTCGCCATTTAAATAGCATCTGGGTAAGTTAGCATTAGGGACGGAAGCAGCTTTCATCCAATTAATCCCTACTTTCCCAATAAAACAGGGAGCTGACAGGAAGCATAGTGCCTAAACAGACTGCTGTAATGCTAGTTAGCATTACAGCTCTGTATTACAGGAACAACAACAAAAAAACAAACTAAAACAAACAAAAATCAAAGTATTTTTTAATCAGAATGTGCTATGAACTTTGTTGCACCCTTTAAAAAGTACATGGAAATGAAGAATGTCCCTAAATCCTTAGCTGGCAGCATGTTAGAGCAATAAGCTATTGTTCCTATACCTTGTCTCTGTTTCAGAAACAGACATCAGCTTAATAATCTTGCAAAATCTTGTGCGTGGCCAATAAACTGAAATACTAAATGAGAAGGAAGCTTTTGCTTATAGTAGCTCCAGGAATCAGGACTGAATATGACTATAAAAATGTGGACTTTGTCAAAACCTCTTTTACTGCCTTTGTTGCCTAATTTCATAGAATCTCTTATTACTTATCACTGCTTTAAACAAAATTAAGACTGAACTTCAGAACCATGCTCCAATTCACCTACTTCGATAAGGACCTCACTACTTCCCGCATTTATTTCTAGAAAATGTAAAGCAGCTAACACAGTTCTGCTTCATTAGATTAGACACTTAGCTGCACTGTCACATTTACTTGCTTTTAGTTGTAAGTTCCTGTTATTATTATTAAATATATAAATATAGAGATATGTTATATGATAGATACATATGTAATAAGTACAAACGGTAAACATAATATTAATATGAGTTTTTATCTTTTATTCATAATACAGTGATGGTAGCACAGCTAAGGAGACAAAAATGAAGCCTGTTATATTCCTATGCAATCAGCAAAATGAATCACTGATTCAGAGTCATTTTCAATATTAACAAATCCCAGGTATGGAAGCAGGGGAAGGTGGGATAGGACTGCCCAACTAGGCACTCTGCACTAGAGCACCCAATCAGCAAGAAAAGGACTACCTAGCTGCACTGAGCAATGAATACTGGAATAGAAACATGCAATCCCAAAACACAACAACAAGAAAACCAGCACACCACTACAAAAGGGCAGAATGGCCCTTTTAGTTTCAGAATCAATCTAGACACTACGGATCACACATCTCTGAGGACTCTGGGTTTTGAGGGCAAGGCTAACACTGGCAAAGCATTTATCTCGTCCAGCACACAATCCACTTGCACATTGTCCAGCTCTCCAAAGGAAACAGGGAGGGAGCCAAAGAAAGGGCAAACAAGAGTGGCCTGCGACAGGCTGAACGAAGGCGACAGGGACTCGTTAGGTGCAGGTAATGAAGGGCAGAGACAGCCATGCACAACACAGGCTCCGAGTACTTACCAAGGGGTGGAAAAGAGCGGACAGGGCTCGTGTCCCTGCTGCTTTCACGGCTGGCCTCCCGACTGCAGCCCTGACTCACACTAGGCCGAGGAATGCGGCTGCCTCGCGCTAGTATGATTCAGGGTGCAGGCAAACAGCAGCACAGAAGGGAGAAGACACAAGAAAAGTTGCAGTTTTAATGTAATCCTGGTTTTCAGCAATATCAAAGATGTTCGTCTAAGACACTGACTCGATTACATTGCATTCTAACTAGCAACTGTTTTCAGGCACTCGGTTGATTGTGCTGTACGTGACGCTAACTGTGGCCTGTTCAGTGAAATCACTTCTTTGTACAGATAAAAAAGTGAAATCACCAACTCTTTTCAGAAAAATTGAAAAGCAATTGAAAAAGATGGAGTGGAAACCAACAATGAAAAATACAGACAGAGTAAGTAATTGAGAAATTGTGCTCAAGTTCTAATTAACTGAAACAATAGTAATGCAAACAAAAAGCTTTTGAAAAAAGGGAAAATATACAGTTAACAGAGCTAAGGCAAAATCAAAAAACAGAAAACCACCACACCACTGAAATGAACCGGTATTTTTCAATAAAGGGTAATCAGGCTATACCACAGGATTTAGGAAGCATGACACTCATCTTTGTATAATGAAAGTACACATACATGCACGCACAGATGTAGAAGACACATGAAAGTAATTATTAAAGAAAATTATCTTTTCAAAATACTATCACACTCATTTAATCAATGTGGATCATTTGGAGGTGGGGTAAGAACAGAAAGAAAGGAGAGAAGAAAGAAGAGGAAGAAAGGTAAAAACTGCCACATTTTGACAGGAAAAACAAAACAAAAAACAAAGTTTCAGCTTAAGTTTAAAGCCGTCTCCCATATCAAAGGCTAGTCTCAGACTTCAGGCAAATCTCACTTCTTTGCCTGGCAATATTCTAACTTTACCACCCACCTGTAACTAATTGCGAGTTATAGGTGTCCAACACCAAAAGAATTCCTCTAGAGGAAGAGCTATTTTGCAGTTCTTACCTACTGACAGTCTAGAAGGACTAGCTTCCCTGCTGCATCCCTGACTTCGGGGGATTTTGCTTCGTTTTTGTGCAGCTGCAGGATTCACCAACACTCTCTGAACGCCTGTGTTCACAGTGGAAAGTGCAGTTGTTGTCAAAACTCTTCCAGGAGATCCCGATCTGCTGCCAGCTGAAGGCAAAACAAATAAATATCAGTATCAGCACAGAATATTAACAACCAAATTAAAAAAGAATGGTTAAAACAAGTAGAAAAGTGGTGGCAGATTGAAATGGTCTGAAGAACTCACAAGGTAAATATATGAAATAGAATAATCCAGTACAAGTTTGTAAAGCATTACACACAAGGAAGGTAGAATTATCAAGTCCAGAAGCACCTGGTCTGACATTTCATAACACATATGCTCAAAAAATATAGGAGTAATATTCCTATTATTCATGAACGAGTCTAATATCCCTATTAGAAAAAGAACATATCAACCTTTCTAAGCTGCATGTTCTCCCTAGATTCATTAAAACACAACAAAAACACCCACACTGCTAAGATGCAACTATCCCTCTTTCAAAGTGATTTCAATCATCCAAGTTCTTTAAGAACAATAAATATAATAAAAAATCATTTTTCCTAGTTTTTAAATTCTTACGTGCTTTTTAAAGTTTACAGTGTTTGAGCACAGCCATCTGAAAAGCTAAACCTAAACATCTCTTAAGACAAGAGAAACATTCACATTCGCTTCTGTGGGAAGTTATTCCACAGATTCAAAGGAAGTTTCTTTTAATTAAACATGTATATATATTTTTAATCACTAAACATTATATTTAAGCATCTTACCTTCTTATTAAAGGTAATAATCAAAACTGTACATTTTAAAGTACAATAATTATATTATGCACAGTAAGTGCATTTCAGTACACGGTAGCTGCTACCAGGAACTGGTCATGGATCCCTAAATTATCTCCAGTCTGTGACATCCCAATTTCAGAGAAGTTAACTTCTAAGCCCTGATGAATAATCTGTTCTGCTCTGCTACCTCTTTGTATTTATACTACTAGTTAACATAACTGCAATCATTACTGTATCAAGCTACAGAATTTAAATGGAAGTCTGACCAATTAAAGAGCAAAACATTATTTTAACCAAAAGTTAACTACATGACAGCTATGAAACTTCTAATAATTCTTTAAACACAATCAGGTAACTGTACGACCACAGCTATCAGTTCTGTAAGCTTATCATGCAACATCTCAAGTGAGTTTCATGGAACACTTATGTAAGGACTATTAGTAGCAACCAGAAAAGCAAATATAGTACTAAGGAGAGAGGAAGGGAAAGAAAAAAAAAAAAAAGCCACAGCTGGATAGCAGCTGATTAATGCTTGACAATATGGGAGAAAAAAAAAAAAAGAAAATCAAATAAAACATGTGCTGGGTGGATAGGAGAAGACTAAAACCATGTATCATGCATATACTTTCAGATTCATTGTTTGAATTCAAACTTGAAGTGATTATTTAGTAAAATATTGTCTTCTAAACTATGGACCTTTTCAGCAGAAATGATACATGCAGTATTATATAGCCTGGAAACAGCAACTGAAAAAACTAGGTGGAAAATCAACAAAATTAGTGTGGAATGCTACAAAAAATTAAGGGCTTCGAAATTTCTTCCTATTACAGCTTTTCAACTTAGACCTGATGCTGCCATGCCTCTTTCTACTGTGTTCCCCCCGCCCTACTCCATGTTTTACATCCTTCTATAAAACATGGAAGTGTTGGAAAACTGTACATTGTACTTTTAGATTTTCCTAAATATCTCAAACCTGAAAAGGTACTCTTTTCAGAATAAACTGATAGAAAGCATCTTCTCATTCTACTGCTTTTTACCTTTCCATCTGGCTCACCCGCAGTGCGCCCCTATAGCCTAAACCCATCAAATCCAGCTTACCAGTCTGAAAATTTTGCCTTAAAAAAGACAGCACTTGCATATAGCTGTCAATACTACCAGCAGGAGCAGATCTAAAGAACTAAAGCTAATTTAATGATGAAAGAAGAGGAAGCTGCTAAAAAGCTATTCCAAACTGCAGAGCGCACCACATGGCTGCCTGCTAAATAATGAACATCTGAGATGAAGTAAGTGCAGCGAGTAGGAAAGTGCCCCAGAATTTCTGCTGAATAGGCTCCTTAAATGAGATATGTAAAGAGGTGATCAAACAATGATGTATACACAAATTCTGTAGACTCTTACCACCAATGGGGTTAGCAGACTGTGATCCTGAGCAAGTGTAAAGGCAGGATTAGGGTAGGGATTTATAATCCATGAAGAGGGAGGGAGCAGAGCAGATTAAAAATGGATGGCAAATGGAAATAAGAAAGCTTTAGTCATTTCACACAGGAAAAAAGCCAGGAGGGAGTTATGCTAAAGCAGTGCTTTAAAGTAGCTTCCATAGTTGAAGTACTAAGCTCAAGATGCTATGCACAAAGCAGACGAAGCAAAGCTGCACAAGCAAATCACAATTCTTCAGCCTTCTAATTAGCAACAGGGTAATACTGAAGAATTATATTTCAATTAAACATGGGAGGGTAGCCTTTAAAACCACTTAAAAAAATCAGCTTGCCAAAAAGAAAATTTAAAAGTTCAGTAGCTGAACAAAATTACACACAAGGCCAAAACATAATTTTTGTTTGAGACAGACAGTAAAAGAACTAAGCTGCAGGTGGGGTGAATGACAAAAAACCAAAAAGCTTTCACAATGGCAAGTTTGAAAAGACTTGCACATATATATATATATGAAATATATATATATATATATATTCTTTTTATACTATATCTGACATTTTAAAATAAGAATTTGTTTCCATTCATAAATTTTCTTCTTTTTCCTTGAACTAAGGCTATAACATAATAGTAGGCTGCCTTGTAGGCATACCTGACAACCAAACAGAATGGCAAAGGAAAAAAGAACATTTTTTCCATACATAAGAATAACGTAGATTGTAAACTGTATATGCATTTATTATGTGTTACAATTTAAATACAGGAGCAGGAAGGGGCATATGCATAAATACTTTTGTAAGAGTATTCAAATTTGCAAGTCTTTCATGTAACAATCTTTAAACAGAAGCATATTTTTAGCCCTAAATTTACAAAAGCAGTGGTTTTTAAAAAACACAAGCTTAAAACTAATAGAAAATCTGCTCTTAATGGGGCAATTAAGCAATCCCCTGTATGAAAAGATCAAGTATCTTACTCCCTACAATGCTGTGAAATTTTTCATCTACTTAAAAAAGCATCATCCATATGGCAGGCATATCATAGAATCATAGAATGCTTAAGGTTGGAAGGGACCTCTAGAGGTCATCCAGTCCACCCCCCCTGCACACGCAGGGTCACCTAGTACACAACAGTTCCCCTCCACCTGTTCATTTGTATTTATCCTATTTATCTTTCTTAAAACATCTCAAAATTCTTATTCTCCCCCACTGAAAGGTTAAAGAGTTATCTGGAGGCATCAGTTCTGAACAGAAGTGGCAGAAAGCTAAAAAGGTAATTTCATGTATTTAGTTTTCACAGATCACATGTGAAAGTTATCTAGTTATTTCAAGAACAGTTCATCTCTTTAGACATGAATACTATAAAGAAGTATTCTCCTAAAAATAAAAAGATGAAAACCCCACCGAAAGCTTCCATTTTTATTTCTATGAATATGCAGAGTCAGTTTTATTAATGACATATGCCAATACTTAGAAGTCACAGAAATCTTAGATTAACACCCCAGTTTATAAATTATCCTAACTTTTTAACATTTTCTCACTTTCTTCAAGGTACTAAGTTATTTTCAAGAAGTTGTTCACTGGTGTTCCTAAATTGAAATAGTGATTTGATGAGACTTATTTTTTTCCACTCAAACTATTTAGCCAATTATTCTTTGCTTATGTCATATTAAGAAGAAAACAATACAAAAATATTGCACCACCTCTTTTACAGGTGATAACTGACTTTATTTGCAATCTCTCATGTCATAAAGTGTGGGATTTCCCAGAATATCTTTACTTATTATGAGAATTTATTAGATTTTTAAGTATCTGTACCTTTTTGTTCAGATTTTTGCAAGTGTTCTTGAACAAAATCTGCAAATATTGAATCAAGTCTGATTCAACAGTATTTGATAGAAAATAAGATCCAACAGGAAGACAACAGCAAGTGCTCTTCCACAGAAAACATGAAGTAAATTATTTGCAGATTACTGACGTCAATTACCTCCAGTGCTTTTTCGACCTCTAAAATCATTCTAGTTATGATAAATGCAGTCACTGATAAGAAGATATAGGTTTCTGCCATTAAATACAGAATTACAGGGGTTCATTAAAAGAGGATAAGGCTTGGTATAGGGCAATAATGACACTGGAAAAATCAAAACCGTATTAACTTATTGACCTTGAAACACTACAGGTGCCAAACTACATGAGCAGTTAGTTTTTTCTTAATGGCATTGTTGATTTTTCCTTATTTAGTTAATCTCATTGTGTTTCATTTAATTCCACAAGGGAACTAGTTCTCTGTTACCAAAACAGAAGTGATGTCTCCTGGAGACCCCAGACACAGAAACAAATTGCCAGAGGTCAGCCAAGGCACCAGTAACACTACCACTTGCTCACAAGGATAAGGTAGTTGTCTTTTAAATTAATGACTGGGAACTAAGCCATTTTGCATTTGTTGTGCTTCAGAAAATACATATAGAAAATTACTGTGAAAATTAGCTTGTTTTAACCTTTTGACTTCAATGTAAAGGAAGAGATTATGAAGTCTGGGTTTTATATTTGCACTTACTACCTTAAGTAAAGGTAACAGCTACAACATAAAAAGGAGAAAATAGCCCTGAGTTAGAATACTGCTCAGCTTAAAATGAAAACAGGTACTTCTGATCCAAAAAAAGAGTACTTTCTGAAAAACGAAAAATTAGGTTTCATAGGTAAGCTTGAAGGCACCATCCTTCCTACCCATATTTCCTTTTTACTTGGTCATGTATTAAATCTAACTGGTAGAGAAGTTTACTGGTGGTGTAGACTTCTTGGGGGAGTGGGGCAGTAAAAGTGAGGGTACTGATAAAAGGGGCAGAAATGGGGGGGAAAAAGAATGTTGAGAAGTTGTAACTGAACACAGAACAGATTTCATTTCCTATTAAGGAAAGGGGGACAGATTTCATTTCCTATTAAGCTGTCTAATTTATTTGGCAAACGAAGACTGAACCTAGCATTTGACCCAGAGGAAAACAACATAAATAAAAAAAAGCATGCAAATACCACTGACCCAAAACACTGAAAAAAAATACCTTCATTTTGGTCTGGCGATGATGAACCTAAGGCACAGAACAACAACTCAGTATGCAGCTTCTCTTTTTTTAAATTAACTTTGACTGTAGCCATTGGTCAATGAATATATGCTTAAACATTTGCCCTCTTTATCAGGTATAACTGACGAACAGAAAATACATACGCTGCGACTGAGACACCACTTTGGTTCTGCTGCGTCCTCTGGAATCTGTTTTAGAATTTCCAATACCAACAGATGGCGTCGAAAGCTTTGTTCGTACACGTCCTATAAAATAAAAGCGATTATCAAATCAGTTTTTCTATAGTAACACAGAAGACAAAACAATCGGAAGCATTTACTAGTATTTTATTAATCTTATGTAGATAAAAATCAGGTACCGTATAACTTAATCAGTAAAAGTTCACTTGGGATAATTAGTAGAAATTTGAAAACCTCACAGGACTTAACAGTTGAGAGATCAAAATATTTCTGATTCTATATGATTCAGTAACAAATTTGCACACTGCCATTTAAACATCCAGAACTAGCAAGTTTTCCTACATAAATAATTTGATTTTATTACAAAAGGGAACCTTATTATATAGATATAATAGGCAATGTGTACAACTAACAGGTTTCTCACAATTACTTGTGTTTATAATTCTGCTTCTGTTATCACAAGACAACAAAAGTTACCTTGGATAGCTTTTGAATAAGGGCCTAAAATTCTTCCTATCATCATTCCTTTTAGAAATCTAAATACCAACTTTCCCATTACTGACAGTTCTAATGTTTTCCTGGCTGTGGACCTGGTCATGTATAATTCTACAGGATTTTCCAAGGCATTTACAGCATTTTGCATTGATCACTCAGTAGAACTCGGTGTCTGCACGAAATAAAGAAACCCTCTTCTCCTCAACTGATGGGAGGACTGGTAAACAGAGAAGTGAGAGTATCTACAACAGTAAAATTCACTTCTTCAGGAAGCCAATCCACCTTGTAGTTGGGCTAAAGCTTTGTGCACTACTGGCCATGCTCCTCAATGGTCAGAGAGGACAGTGAGATAACTACAGAAAGGAATACTCCAGCTGCATGAACAACAAGTAGCTGAAAGAGGATTCCTAAAAGCAAGCACGAAATTCCTGTACTACATTTCCTAAGGCTAACTTGGAGTCTCCTTCTCTGGAGATGTTCAAAACCCGCCCGGTCATGACCCTGTGCCACATGCTCTGGGAGACTCTGCGTGTGCAAGGTTGAACTAGATGATCTCTCATGGTCCCTTGCAACCTAAAGCATTCTGTGATTCTATATAACCTCTCAGCCAACAAAAAACAAACATTTGAAAAGTTGCAGTAACAAAAACCCCAAAGCTCACACAGCATGGACCTAGCTCAGCAAGTAATCCAATTTTTAAAACAGCAAGACTGGAATGTTTTCCAGATGTACAAAGTCATTATTTGACCCAGAAGAACTAGACATGCAGACTTTTATAATAGTTCTAGCCTCCTTAGGCTTTCCACAGAAGAATTTGGAGACCAATCAACTTAATATCATTCATCGAAGAAGAGGATAGCCATAGTAGAGAGTCTATTAAGAAGAGAGTCAGAATAAAGGAGGTTATTCACTAAATTAGTAGAAAACAACGTGCTGACAATACTGGCTTAAGGTAACTGGTCCAAACTCTACCAGTTATCCCCGTGCAATGGCAATGTGTTCCCACTGAGGACTACGAGTGTGCAAGGAATGCAACTGCGTTCAGAATCTGGGCCCCAAAATGTAAGAATACAGAGTGCCACTATTTGGATACAGTTTTAAATTATCACTTGAAACCTGGTTCAAATTGAATCAAAGTAACAAAAAAGTTTCTTTGTGAGGCAAAACAATTGTTAACTCACTTAAGAATCTCTACATTTATTCTCCAGATAACAAATTTAAATATATTAATAGCATTCTGAAAACAAATTCAAGTCTCAGAGACAATAGTAGCACCTGCTTCCCAGAGCGTGAGCACATTTGATGAAATTTTCTGCAATGAGATTTGCTAACAAAAAGAAATTAAGCAAAACTATAAAGCTCCTGTATTTTTCACACTAAAAATGTTAAGCAATGACACTTTACTGCAGATGAGAGCTTGAGAATTAAAAATAATAAAGCAAAAGAATTTTAAAAATGTTACATGATAACCAAGTATTAGATGCATAAGCCATATGAAGTTATGAACCTCTACATAGTACCAGAAGGAGCAAAATCTGCTTTAAAAACTTAGTATCAATGAGACATGAAGCTGAAAATATTAGCTATTCTAACAGAGTATTTTCTTACCATCTTCAGAAGCTGTTCCTAAACAGAAAAACAAAATAATAAAATACATGATATTCCAAACAATACTATTTCTCTTCAACTCCTTTTTTTTTTTTTTTTTGAGACTCGCAAGATGCTTAATCTTATCAGATTTATCAAGGTTAGAGGAGGTCTAAAACGCTTGTATTGCAACTCCATCTTTGAAGCGAAGTGGAATATCTAGAAATAGCAATACTACATTACAGACACAGGATGTAGCACTGCCTTCTAAACTTGTTATAAAATACTGAAAATCGATAGGGAAAACAACATAGGAGGTCAAGTAAACTAAATTACATGTCCAGATCAAACACAAGTATTTTAGTGTAAGCTCTTTTAAAAATATAAAACGTAACACTAAAAACAAAATAACAGCCAGTAATTTCGCAAACTGAACACACAAAAAAATCATAGAAATTGTGAGAAAGGAGGAGTTATTTGAATCAGGTCCTTGATGATTCTGAAAAATCCACACATATAAGATGAAGTTTTGCTCAGAGAAGCGGAGCTTGCTGAAACCAGATCACACCTGAACAAGTATGCCAGCTTTATAAAGGCATGACGTATGATAAAAATGAGTCCAACCTGATTCAATTTGCTGACATTAATACATAAGAATTGATGTCAACACAATACTCCTCTCCTGCAGTTCTTGAAACACAAATCTGATTATGAATAAAATATTTTCAGATTGTATTGTAAATTGCTAATGTCTCAAATCCAATGGTAATTCCATTTTTGTTATCAGTTTAATACTGCTCCTGTTTAGGGTATTCCACTAGCCTAAACCTAACCTTCTCAGCAAATTTGGCTACGACTATTTCCATACTGCTAAACCTTCCAGACACTACTGTTACTAGCGCCTTCTAAAACTTAACTCAGGTAAAAATACTTCCACACAGAAAGCACCTTCCAGACATAGGCCTGCAGAAATGCTTCAGCTTGCCTAATCAGAACTGCCAGGTTCCTCTCTGTCCCCAACCCTGCAACACCAAAACCCAGCACATTCTCCCTGTGCAGATGCCGAGGGCAGCCAGCTCTACGCTACAGCTAAGCCACTCTACCAGGGAGCTGGTGCCCTTGGGGCCAGCATCTAAGCAGCTCACTGCTCGTCAGTGCAGCAAGCAAAGTAACAGGACATCGTTAATTCGTGTTTCACCACAGCAGTGTACGCCATGTGGTTTTGCAAGGTTTGTTTCCCTAAAACGATTCACAAGGCGGTATTATAAAGCACTCATGGAAGAAGTGGTGAAAATACATAGGCAAGATTGGTGAAAGGAGGAACACGCATTTCTTCTGGGTGAGGGTGCGATCAGCTCACTTGCATTATAAATCTATAACCTGGAAGCCAAAATGACTCTGTTCCTCATCCCTACAGATGTAGAAGATTCTTTTGGTCATTGGTGTACCTCTTCCTTTGCTATTTTCAGACAGATGTATAGGGCACCTCCACTAGTTTTAACTCCCAGACTGAACAAAAGGAGCAACCTACACATTTGGACTTAAGAATCTTTACTGCTTTGGATAAAAGCAAAAGCTCAGGATGTGTTCAGAACAGCTAGTTCGGAATCAATCCTACTATATGCAACATAAGGAAATTTGATATAGAGGTGAGAAAAACCTTCTAATACTGTTCAAAAAACTCATTCTGGGGAAGTAGGGTTACAATAGTTGCTCAATCTCGACTCAAATTCTTCCCAAGAACAGCTCAGGATTCAGAGTTTTAGGAGAACTTCCTTTCAATTGTTTCCACCTATTTGCAAATTTGGTATAATTATTTTCTTGGAGACAATAAACTATGAAAGGAAAAAACATTTGCTTTGTGTCCAGGAAACTATTTGTTCTTCTAAAAATGTTTGAAAGTTGTTAAAATTTATGTAGTAACAATTATTTAATAAGTTTATTTAAACAAAATCGTCTTTTAAATAATTTCCCAGCAATAATTAAGTTATAAAATAATAATTATAATTATTAGACACCAAGATGGAATTCAGCCAGTTTCTGGTATAGGAAGCATTACTTACACATACCTAAAACAGACTAGTAAGTGTCAAGAGGCTGATTTTCAACTCCTTGGCAATTACAGTGAAAACATATGCCTACTCCCTAAGGGTGTTCAATATAACGAGCAAAGGGGGAGAGAAAAAAAAAAAAAAAAAAGCAAGAGAGAGAGAGAGAAAAGTGCTATTCCCCACCTGGAATTGGTGAGCTATCTGAAACAGGTAGATTTTCTTAGCATACTTTTCTTTAAACCATTAGATTACAGAACCTATAGGCACTTAAAATTAGGTAACTAGACTCTAGATTTTGGTAAAAGTAGTTTTTAAAGAGATAACTTTAGTTTTGTTTTAAAAATCCTAACACTTTGTCAAGAATCTTCTGCTCTCCTACGTCCATTGAGGAAAAAAAAAAAAAGACAGAACTACAACTAGTTATAAAAGGGCAGAATAACTCTGTAATTTTGTATATTTTTTTAAATGGAAATAAAATTCAATTTCCAGACCAATCATCCCAAGAATACTAACAAACACTGCGACAGAACAACATACATTAAAGTATCAGGATTATACAGGGATTAATGTAAACAGTATAGAATTTGTTAATCAACAGACAAATGCATTAAACAGCAAGTATTTTACATATAAGAAGAATAATTATTAGGATTAGAGGGTAGACTAAACAATTTCTTACCATCCATCTTGTCAGAAGTATCCTCTTTGTTGAAAAAGCAGGCAAAGAAACATGGAAAACTTAGTGTGTTAGAATAAAGGTGTTCACAGCAGAGTCATAAAACATTAATTAAGGAAAATACATTAATATTAAATACTGCAGACATATGTCTATCTAATTCATGCATGTATAAACTAACTTAAATAAAGTTGGTTTTTCCTAGTCCAAGGAGTACAATTACAGAATGGAGTCACTGCATAGGGATGTAGCATTTCTTCATGTTATCCAAACACAAGCAATACATATTTATATCATTGCTTTGCCACATTTTTTTTCTATTTCTCATGATATTTGGTACTCAGCATTAAGTATAACACGGACTAATGGACAAGAAGGGAAAAGACAGCACAATAAACACACAAAAAATGAGAAAGTTTGAAAAATTTAAAAACTCAAATTTCAGTTTGAAAATACTAAAAATTCAACAGTTCAGCTAGAAGACAGGGCATACATACTCTGATAATAACAAATCAGAAGTGAAACTGAGTACCACTGCAATATTTAATGAGATATACATAAGCACAGCTCATGCCTCCTCAGAAAGGACATTAATAATTAGAGATCTCTAAGTCAGTCAACATTCACATTAACTCAAGCACAAATGTCCTCCTGAGTCCAGAACAGTTTTAAAAACAAAAATACATACAGATACATAGAACTGCAGAGACAAGAGAGTTTGTCTATTAATAATTAAGAGGAAGGAGACAGGTGGGGGTAATTATAGTTTACAATTCTCAGGAATTTAGAGTCCTCTGAGATTGTAAATTTTGCAGCTGCTTAGGCTAAAGTTGAATGATTCCCTAAGGGAATGCGAAAATATATAAAAGCTCTAGAGAACACAACACAACTTAAATTGGCACTGACTAACACCTGAAAATGTGGAAAGCATTTGCAACAATAAACAATTATACTTTCCAGAACTTTCTAGTATGACAGCATTATTTTGACTGTTCTGTCATTTAAGCTGCCATATTTGAGTGAAGCATTAAATAAACAACAAACAAAAACCTTAGAACACAGAGAAGGAATGTTTTCGAATTAGTGTATTTGCTGAAATGTGGTCGTCTTCCCAAAACAAAGGGAAAACAATATTTCAAGGTGAATTCCAAGGTTAATCAATAGCCAAGGAACACACCACACTTGCTCTCTTTACATGTTTAAGAGGAGACAAACTTAATCACATTACCACTATGGGAAAACTGCTGGAAAACAAACATAGATCAAACAACCACTGTCCTCCTTGCTTTCTTTACTTCAAGTTATTCTGCTGTTTCAACGCAGCACTGTTCTCCAGAAGTACTGTGATTACAACTGCTAACAAAGCAAAAATTTCCAGATACACAAATCCTACAAAAGCCTAGACTTACCATATAAGCAACAGAAAAAGTTATTTCTTTACTTCTGTTATTTCCCTATAAAAAAAGCACCACTACTTACTTTCTTGGAGATCTCTGTGCCCTTTCCCAACCTTACAAAATCAAGGGAAGAACGTTCTAAGGATGAACTAAGATGTTTCGCGAGCACACCAGCACTCCAGTCGCAAGTTAAATCTCTCCTAATCTTAATGAAAGACCGAAGTAGTCCTTCCATGTCATCCGCATGAAGATACACTACCAGAAAGAGAGACTGATCTCCCTCCTTCCCTCTCTCTCTCTCCGTTTCTCTTTGACTTCTGACTTGTTACTTCTACTAAGTCACTTTTCCGTGGCTTCCCACATGAACCGAATCCCTGCCTTGACCAAGATTCAAGACACATGCTGTTGCACATGAGCACAGACTAGGCAACACCATGATCTTGGAGAATGACGCCTACATCTAATCTAGGTACTCTGGCATTCCCCCGTAGCCACAGGCTCATGCCCTCCACCAGGCTTTGGTGCCAACCTCCGATTCACCCCGTGGGCACGAGAGGGCGCCCGCAATCCTAAGCTACAGGCCGAGGTTGAGACCACATGTCAACATTGCCAGTGCTTATAAATTCAATCCTAAAATAAGCAGCGATTGAAACATCTCAAGGCACTAATTACACAAGAGCATCAACTCATTTCAAATATTTTAACTCCGAAGTTTGAACTAAAACTCAAAAACCTCAAAAAACGCAGGTTAAATGTATCCTAACATCTCCCCAGCCTCAAGGTAAACCCAAAGGCCTATACGCACTCCTCTGCCCTGCCTGTGGCTGTGTTTGCAACACTGACATTAGGACTGCTCTCCTCAGCCATCCGGAGCCACTGCTCTCTGCACGCACAGGGACTGCCTGAGAAGACCAGAGACATATCTCACACCCTCCTCCTCCTCCTCACGTGTTGGTTCATCTTAGCTCGAGTGCAAGCTCTAGCATTTAATGCTGCCATTAGCAGAAATACATTCAATGCCAAAGCATGGAATAAAATGGGTAATGGAGGTCTAATGCTGACATCCTTACTGCAGACACGGTCACCACCCTTTGTGTTAGGTGAAGGAATCAATCCTTCATATCCTTAAAATATCGCCAGATTAATACATTTAAAGAGCATAGTAAGGATGCCTTCGTTACACTGGCATTCTTCTAAAAGAAGGAAAAATAAATCATCTAGCAAAGTTCCTAATTTGCTTTAGAACACTTGGTCTTTTGCAGTACCCCAAGAATACTAAAAATGATTATCAAAGTTTTTCAAAAGTGGAAGTACTTTGTCATAAATTCCTTTAAACTAAAACCAACCGAACACAGCAAGTAATACAGCACTGTAGGAACACCGCTCACCGAGTGAGGCATAGGATCCTGGGGGCAAACCAGCTGCGGAGAGGCGCCCGGCGCCCTGCCCGGCGGCATGGCGGGCCTTGGCGCCCGCGGCAGCGTTCACATCGATGTCACTGCGAGACCTCTGCAGAGTCCCCGTGCTTGCAGCACTCTTGCTGCTGCTTCCTGAAACTAAAATTAAATGCAACCATGGTAATTCTTAGGATAATAAATTGACAGAGTTGTATTTACAAAGTTAACTTTTTCAATTGCTGCAGCATGCTTGCAAAAAATGGAAAAACCAAAGTTATACATTTAAATCACATTGCTAATAAACAGAGTATTATTAAAAGGTTAAAAGCATACACGCACAGCCAAGAGGTACTGAAATGCCACACTGTGTTGCCTTGAAATTCAGGTGAAGGATTAAGTTCTTTATTTGCCCAGCTAGCCTAATACTTGAATTCATTAGTCATTCAGCTTTTTTCTCCAGTCTTAGTAGTACTCAATGCAGAATCAACTCAGTATTTTATAGTATTCTCATTTTCAATCAACATGAAATTTTACCATTACTCTATAAAAGCTGCTTGCTCCCACCATAATATAAATGACAGAAATTGGGAACATCTGTGTCGTTTGTTCATTACATTACTGAATGCTACACAAATTCTCAGCAATTCAGTGACCTCTGTGATACCGAACCAGATATTTTTTGCACACATCAGGCAAGAAACTGACACCAGAGGCAGCAATTGGACAGTTAAATGCCTACCTTGAATTACATGATGGCCTAATCTTCAGTAAAATATGTTTATATTCATCCTTAGTTATTAGCTGCATATTAACTATTTGGCTCAGCCATTGGTGCATATGTTTAAAACTTGGCGCTCTCGTAATAATTTAGGTATTCAGGAAAACAAGTACTCAAAATAATTGGTCACTTATAAAAACGAGTCAATGATTTACTCACTAAGATTTGCAAAGACATGAGAAAGAATGGATCAATTCAATTCTGAAAAACCAGACAAAATGAAACTGTTTGAATTACAAGTGTTTTTTCCCCCATAAGAAACATTTATGGCTGTGCTATAACAGATCAGTCCTTCATTTCCAACTAACATAAGCCTCAAGGTCATGAACAGATCACAGAACAATGCTGTGTTTTTTTCAGAATGACTAGTCCATGAGAAAACTTCTAGAGACAGATCAATTAACAGGGACAATAAATAGCCTATAATGTCTCGTATTTGGTAATAGATGGCAATTTTGCAACAACTAAAAGTATGTAAAAGCCAAGGCATATATCACTGAATAATTCAATTGCATAATAAGCTAGAGTGATAAAGATTGTAAGCTGTCTTTTTTTTTTTTAATCAAAATGGCATTAAGAACAATTGTGCACTACATAAGAATAAGCATACCTCTGCCTGCAAGACTTCCTGGGGTGGCTGCAGACCATTTAGAAGATAGAGGACGACTATTAAGGAAAAATAAATAAAAATTAACAAATCCAATAAGTAAAGGCTTTAATAAAATATCTCATGAATGTGATACAGAAAGCAACACTACACAATGGTCTGAAGAAATATTCTTTTTTAACCCCCTTGCCATCCCCTCCACCTACTGACTGCACATTTCAGATAAACACATAAATACAGAATAATAAAGAAAACATCATTGTCTTATCAGATCGTCTTCTAAATTCCATGAAATTTTGTGTTCATTATAAGGCATTAAATCTCTTGCTAATTAATGGACATATTGTGCTAACACCAAGTTTGGGCATTCCATATTTGGCCATAGAAACATTTAAGCTGACCATTACAAGGTTTTAACTGCAGGGATGATCTTCTAAATCAGCTGTCAAACAAAAATAGCAGGAGCTAAACTAAAAGATCTTAATATACAATGAAAGGAATTATGTGAAGCAAGTTGCCTACAATAAAAAGGAAAGCATGCATATGACTCATAAGCCTCCTCCAAGTCCTATCTCCCCAAAGAATTCAATTAGAAATTAAGAAGAAATATGCTGGAACTTCGAAGTGGCTGGTTTGAGTTTCCCTTGTTTGACTGCTAGAGACTGTTAATAAGAGAAGGGAAAAAGTGTTTTTTTTTTCCCCCCCTTTCCTTTCTCTCCATTTCCCTTTACTCTTACTGCCAAAGCGAGTAGCTGCTGCAGCAACATCTTTTGGTCCACTCAAGTTGAACTGTAAACCTTGCCTTCTACTTGATTCTAAAGACTAGCATGCCTCTTGAACAGGAGGGTGCAGAGGAAAGGCAAAATATACAAAAAAAAAAAAAGATAGAAAGCACTGAATAGCACAACACTTTATTCGTTGACATGTAGCCATCTAAATGTTTACATGACTGGGAAGGTTTGTAGTAATTTCAATGACACCCAAATTATAACCTTGCAGTCTAGAGTCTCAGCTTTAGTAAAAATACTCCCTAATTTTAATATCAAAAAGCAGAGAGAAGAGAGATACGTAATACTGTGCATGCATCTGTGCTATTAGCTCAGTGATAATGTAGATGTCAGCATTGTTATCTAACTCCTCACAAAAAAAAAAAAAAAAAAAAAAAAAAAGTTCACTATGAAGGACCCTTGTTTTTCTGACGTAATAACCAGTCAGTGTTTTGGAGCTATTAGCACTTATATTGCTGCAAATGCAATGAGTTCACTTCTGTTTGCCCAGGCAGATCTCTTGGCCACATTCTGACCTTACAACAAGCACTGAATAGGAGGCTTGGAAAACACTATTAAAATTTCAGCACTTTGCACAATCTACTGAGAATAGCAATAAATTTAAGCAGCCTTGTACAGGTAGAGCTTGTTTGGAAGGCGCAAGTCAAAACATTTCCCTCCTCCCATCCCCACTTAAAATACCAATGTTATCACATGGAAGTTGCCAACAGAAGTAAATCAGACAAGGGTGCTCTCTAAATAGCCCGGTAGGTACTTGGCCAGTCACAGATTCTGCAGGGTTCTTACACTTTCTTTCTAAATTTAAGGGTCTCCTCACAGAGCTTCCGTAATAATATGAATAATGACCAGAAAGAAGTAAACTACAATAATTCCTTGGCTTTTTACTTAAAAGGTGAAAAAGATTTTTTAAACTCATGCAGGTCTTAATTACAGACCATGAAAGACAGATAGGGCTGAGATAGCAGCACTTAGAGGAGTCTGATGATAATCATCTTTCTCAGCCTTGTAATAAAAATCACAGTGCACTGAAACTATTTTGATCAATGGATCTCTAACCTTTGCAAGCTCAGTGAGTCAAAAAACATCAGATGCTAAAACAAAACAAACAAACAAAAAAAAAACAAGCACCCTTATTTCCTACCCTAAAATATACAGGGAGAATTCAGCATCTACTGTAGAAGTCGGGGGGCGGGGGGGGAAGCCAACAACCACCAAACAAAAAACACCACACACACTGGTGGTAACACAGAAAACAAAAAGGGAACATATTTAAAAGCAAAAAAAAAAACAGTTTAGTGAAAAACAGTTTAAAAATTACTTCAGATCAGTATCAGATTTCCTTTGCCTATCTCTTCTTTCCCCCCTCCCATTCTGTGCTGTTTTATCTTCCAACAATGGGCAAGTTACACATCTTGTAACACAGGAAGTAGTGCTTACCTAGGGTTTTAATACTGCAGGATTCTAATTTCTCTGTAATTTAGCTCAACATTTTGTTATTAGTAACTCATTAACAGCCTTTTGAATTCCAGGCAGGAAATACAGATTTAATTAATTTAAGCAAGAGTAATTCATCACTGAATAAATATTTATTTTGATGAAAATCAATCGCTAGCAATAACCTGCCTTGAAATAACTATTAAAAAATGCCTTTATAATTACAAAATCATACAAATCATACTGTAGATAAGATTTGCAAAAGAAAGAGGCACTGGAATTTAAGGTGACAGACAAAAAAAAAATAGCTTTGCACATGCTGGAAGCAGTCTTAGCTTTCCAGCCAAGTGAGCAAACATGAAGTTCTTTTGCTTTGGAAATGAAGCAACTGAACTGAAATCAGAATTTTAAATACTCTGAAGACCCTTTCTATAATTTAGAGGATTAAAAATTGTCATGTACCTTTGTTCCCGGCTGTACATTTCTAGTAACATGCAAACAAGTTCTTTTGCTACCAGTACCCAAAGCAAATTTTAATCTAACAAGCTCATGATTGTTAATACATCATAATACCCCACTGCCTATAGAACAGACCTGCTGCCTCGTAACCAGCAGGCATGAAATAATCAATATTACAAGGACAGAATAAAAAAATAATAATAAAAGAGCTCTGAACTGAATGAATGTCATTGTCAGTGTCTCTTCTGCCTACTTCCAGAGGAAAGCAATGTAAAGAAGCAAAGAAACACTACCATATTTTTTTTCCTATGCTTGCTTCTTTTATCATGCTGTTGGACAAGTGACACCACTTAACCAGACAAACCTTAGAGATCTTCTGGTGCAACAGAGGCAAGTAAGGAACAATAGATGAGTCTGCTAAATTCAAGGTTATGCATGCTATTATTTTCCACCTTGCTGGATTAGCACCATCATGCAGCAGAGCACAAGAAGAATTTTAAGAATGTGAATATTAAATGTGACAGCAGTATCAGTGCAGCTTTTCTCCCCACGACAGGAACCTCACACATGTGTCTGCAAAACATTTGCTACTGTCAAACCAAACAGGTAAGGGACTCTTACTTGAGGCTCTCCTGTGAGCTGGAGGAGGACCTGTCTGACTGAGGGAGAGATGCTATACTGCCAGAATTCTTTAGGTAAGTCTGGAGGCTTCTTTGATAGGGCGGCTCAAGGGAGTTGTAGAGAGTCTCTGCTTCACTAGGAAAGTGATTTCTAAGACCCAAATAAGCCCTGCAAAATAAAACAACAACCAAGTGCAATTGTTTTAGATTTTTCTTTAAAATACACAGTCAAAAGGTGAAAGACTAGAATAAGCCAGGGATGGTAGAGAAAGGAAGCCAGAACAGAAATATTTATACCACATAATACATTCATCAGGTGCTAAATGATACCAGCTTCATTGACAGTACTGACTTTTTTGAAATGAAAAGTATTTCTGCCCTCCAAAATTCTCAAGTTTACTTACTAAGTCTTAGTACTTCTTACTGAAGGGAAAAAGAGATTTTTTTTTCCTTCTCTATCGAAAGTACTGTAGTTGTTCAATGACTCAATTCCTAGAAAGAGTGAATGATTATGTAACAATATCAGTCCTCATCTCTCCTCTTTCCTGAGAATCCTCAGACTCACTGAAACATGAATAATTGCCCCAACCTTTAAAACTGTTTTCTTTTTTTGGGTACAAAGCAGATATTAATTCAAAACTCCTTCACTTGATTTGCCTCCTCTTCTTCATAGACGAGCAGCTATCTGATACATACACACTACTCAAACCCTTTTATCCCTCACAGAATGTCTGCCATTTTTCAGAGCAATAAATACAGCCAAAACTTACTTTCTTGCCTCCACTCTTGCCTCTGCATCAGCATCATGAATACCCTTCTTGATGGTTTCAACCAAGACAGCTGCATGCCTAGAAGACAGACATTCTTCAAGCTATCTTTTACTATTTGAAATTCAAATTTGAAATTCAATCCTAAAAGACGTTTTACTTATTAATATTTCTCTAAGTAAACAACGGTCCACATAGCGATATGAAGTAAATGTTTAACTACCTGATGATATAACTGCACCTTCTGCAGAGGCTTAGAAAGCTCCCAGCTATGAAGGGGGGAATTTTTGTTTTCAGGGAAAGTCTGCCACGAAGGCATGTAGAGTTTGTAAGAAATAATTTTAAAGCAAATCATGAGCAAGAGGTGCTAAAAAACAAGATACACACACTTTTTTTCTATCTTCAGCAAGTATCAAGTTAAAATGACTCTTAAATGTGTTCTTTTTAAACAGACACATATTTTAATATTCATTTGCACTGACTAGCCATTTAAGAAAACAATAAAACAATTTACAGTATTTCTATGTATCCAGAATGAGTTTTTACACAAAACAGTCTGAGTAGCCAAAAATGAAGTGCTGCTCCCCACAACATATCATTACAATGTTAGGTAAAAATGTTTTAGGATTTTCAGTACCAGCCTTGTGTGATAGCGGCTGAGTTCAGTTCCATGTCTGCTACAGATTAGGCAGTTACAGGCTGCGACTGCATGGAAAAAAGTTTTCTTCATGACAAGTGTCTCATACATGAAACACTCTCTCGCAATTTGAGAAGTAGTGTTATTAAAGGGATTATGACTACTTGGTATTCAGTTAAGTGGGTTTTATTTACATCCTTAAAAAATATATCTTCCAATCATTTTGAGATATTCTATTTCTTAGAGTTTTTATGAAAATAGAGAACTGGGTAGAAAAAGAAATCTGCAGTACTAAAATCTCTGCTAAAAGCCCCAGCAGGAAAAACCCTGCTAAGTAAATGCAACTCTGACTGGACCTAAAAAAGGAAAAAAAAAATCCACATGAGGCATTACAAATGGAAAAAAAAATCTCAAACTTTTGTAAGCTTCCCTAGTGAGACCCCAGAGAGTTTACTGCAAATCATGCATCATAATGAAACATTTTTTTTTTAAACTCAACTTTGTGGCAAACTGATTCAGACCACCTGATGTGTTACATGTGTGTTCAAGGAAAGTAATATACTGTTGCATATTTTTGTACCAAAGGCTCCAAAGTAGTTAACATTTTTACTCACTTAGACAGAATGTTCTATTTTTCATAACAATTTCCCTACTGAATTATTTTAGGCCATAACAAAATCACTCTGTTGATTAACAGTTAATAAAAATATTAGCAGTTTACAGTTGGAAAGAAAGTGTATTTACCCATACCTTTCCAGTGAATGCGTTTGCCACTCTTGTAACAACAGGTCTAAAAATTCAAAAGAGCGCCTAAAAAGACAGGATAAAAAGTTACAAAGGTACTCAAGCTGTCTCTTACACATACACAGCTCTACAACTTCTAGGGCAAACTCGGGTCCAGAAACAGCACAACTGCTCTTGGGAGACTCTGCGCAGAGCGGAGCACTCTCAGTCCCCAAAGGGCTTCAAGGGCCAACTGAGGCACTCAAGGACCTGTTCCTGGAAGCTCAGCGTGCTCAAGATGCACCTTAGTTGTCCAGCACAGCAACAGCCTGACCAATCGTGTCCTGTGCAAGGTAACAGTCACCCCCTCAGTGCCACAGTTCCCTGCATTAGTGTTTTGGGCACTACATCAGATATAGCCCTGCTTCTTACATTCAGATTGCATTGTACAAGATTTGGACCTGGACCGAAGAGAGCCACAAGCTGCCAAGTACTCCCAGCACTTGCAGAGGAACTGCAGTGCTTTCATAGGAGCTACCCTCTCTAGGCCTGCCAGGGCTGGCACTGTTACCTGCAGCTAACAGGCTCCGGCAGCAACTTGGAAAGTCAGGCACATGGGTGTCCCATCATGCACACAAATGCCTCTCAGTAACCTTGCTTCTCAGTAACCACACTTATTTAATCACTTGTATTATAATATACAGAAGGTACTCCTTCAGGAAGTGTTACAAACACTTTAAATATTAGAATAAATTCTTCAGAAGGATACAGTTTGTGTCCTCTATGTCAGAAAAAAACATTGTTCTTTAACAGCATCCAGGTGATTAACACTGTTAAAACTCATTTTTTAGTTTACTACATAAGTTTCATGTGTTCATACAATCATCGTATTTAAAAAGCAACAATTGAAAAGAAAAAAAAGGTATTTATAATATGCTTACCTTCTAACTGCAACTGATTTTGAGGTACAGTTGCTTGTTATTAAAGGTATAAGTCTGGGCACATGGGTATGCTGAAAAAAATAGGACAAGGCAGTTAATTACAAAAGCATTACTTTTTTTAATGTATTATTAACTCAGAGTTCTGAACATCATAAAAATGACCATCACATCATATTTGATGGATCAAATGGAAACTGCTGTTATAACATATGAATCATACATTTTAAAGAAAACAAAGCAAGAACAATTTCCAATACTTGTGATACATATTACTTAGTTATTAGAAGCTACAAATAAAAGATCAACAAAAAGTGGAAAATGGGACAACATAGAAAAAAACAAATTATTAATTTAAAACTGTGAACATTCTTTTAGGCATCAAACTTTAGAGGTAACTGGAAATACCAAATTGCTTTTAATGCAAAAAATGTCAATAAAATAAACACATGATATACAATCCATTTAAAAGCAAACTTATTTATAGAAGCTATATAGAAACACCTACTATATCCTCATGGGAAGACTCAAAAAAATCCTCCGGAATTACTATTTAAGATGGCCAAGACAAACTGCATTAAATCCCTACACAATACTTTTATTAGGAATTAAAGCAGCCGTACTTTACTTAACTTGGACACAAAGTAATACCATTTTGATTCCCACTAATAGTAGTATGGTTTAAACACACTGAATAAACTTTAAAACAGTCCTCATTACTGTATAAAATAGTAGAGCTTTAACAAAATGCTTAGTATATATATAAAAGGGGGGAGGCGCTAAGGATTACCACACTAAACAACTTTTAATACTTCTTGTATCGTATTTTTTTTTCCTTACAGGAAAAAATTGTTCCAGGATATAAACACCCAAATCACCCAAAACAGAAGAAAATCTACCAGCTTTCAAAGTACTGCCAACTTCAGCATTACCAGGGAATGAATCCAAAAATCCAGAAGAGCCTAATGGTTATACTTTCTCCTTCTGACAGTTTTTTTTTTTTTTTTTAAACCACTCTTTTCAAATTTAAGAGGGACACACGACTGCCAGAAAGTGCACAATACACAAATACGGAGAAAAAGAAACACAATATTTTTACAGATAGAGAAATCTGTATGTTCCAAATCTTTGGAGCCAGTTATATCTCACTTTCAAAAAGGAAAGGAGATGTGAAATCCAATAATGGGGCAAAGATGAGCTGGAGCTCTTCAAGGTCACTGAAAAATAGACTGATCAACACCCCCTCCTCTTTTTCAGTGATCGATCTCTCTCTCCCACAGTCATAAGACACTAAAGCATCAGGATCTGAAATGGCTGGTGGTTCTGGTGAACTGGTCAATGGTTTTTGGTAGTATTTTATAAGCAAAACTCGGACTCCAAAAGCCTTAACAACCAGGACTCTGAGTACCTCACAGATCACACAATTTCCTCGACAAACTCCAGTTTAAACCAAAGGACAGAAATTAATGGAAAGTGGGAATGCACTGCTCTTGACTCTGGAAGTCTTTTTTTTCCATTAAACTTGGAATCTTCCCACTGTCAAAACACCTTGCACAACCCATTTATTTGTTTGGTATTTGAATATAATGCATTGGAAGCATGAAAGCAAGAAAACCCTATTACATTATTAGAGCTAATAACAACAGAAATTTAAACAAAACCAAGACAGCTAGAGCTGCCATGTAGGCTCTTCCTCAATTAAACTGAGCCAATAAAATAATCAGTGAATTTTCCTTCATGCTGCTTCCTTCTGTTCTGCTGCTTGATCTGGCTCCTGTAAGCAATGAGGAGGGTCGGTATTTTTCTTATGTACTCGAGCTTTTATAACACTATGACAAACTACAAAGTCTTCTCTTACAACTTTTATCATACCGTGTAAGGTTTTACTCCCTCCTCCTCTATGTGCCATGAGCAATGTCACGGTGCATTGTAGGACTCGCGGGGGAAAAATACCTACAGCTCCTAGCAGAGTGCCGCTGATGCGAAGGCAACACTAGGTCTCAGAGCACACTCCTAGAAGCGTAGTTACACAGAGGGGCAAGTACTGAATACCCTGAACACAACAATACAAGGCACAAGTGATTAACTACCTAGGTTTCTAACAGGTTACAAACTTATGAGTGTGGATGGGATCACAGTGAATCGCTGTAAGTGTCTAGCATTAAGAACTAAAGACAACCACAGAGCTTTTAATGGAAAAACTACAGGCAACCGCCCGTCTGGATTTTAAACCAAAAAAGTGTCAGGGCAGATCCTACAAACCTAGACAAATACCTTGTTTCAGCCCTTGGTTAGTAACAGATGCTCAGGAACAGAAACTAAACAGGTCCAACATGCAGCATTTCCCTTTCCTGCTTTAGGCACTCAGCAGCTTAAAAAGCTCTCACAGCAGAGATTTAAATAGCTCTTTTGGACTTCACTTCCACAGCCTTGTCCCGTCTGAATTGCTCCACATGTGTTTGGCCTCTTCACCATTGTGAGTGCTCGGTTCCAAGTGACTGAATCGGTGCATATACACACACATGCACAACAGAAAAGAAAATCTCTTCTAAAGAATTCATTGCTAGCCTGCTGACTGCTTGTTTGCTTTGTCTTTTGCAAAAAGGCATGGAGCCTTGGAAGCACACTTGCCTTTTGACAATTACACACTATAAAAATAATGAAAACACACTGGCTCTTCATATCTCTTTCATCATATTTATCAGGATAATGCTGTTGATTGCTATCAATAATAGGTAATATTCACTGCATTTGGTAATATTTGCTATAATAATTGCTTCCTGCTCAAAAATTTACTTCTTCATTGTTGAATGAACATTTTAAAGAATGGTCGGATAAATCCACATTACATTTGAGAACCAATATAATTTCTGGTAAAAAATATTGCATGAACATTTCCAGCAAGCCAAGTTAGAGAGCAACACCTACCCGAATAATAAATCTAATGGCTGCACACCCAGAAGTTGCCATTACTTTGGCGCTGTTGGGAACCAGATTAAAAAGAGTAGGCACAATAGCTTCAGCGCCATGATCAAACTTGTTTCCCAAAACAGTTGAAAGATGGCTATTGAGGAAAAAGAAATGAAAATGGTTAAGAGCATTTTAGTTGTCTTAAAATAGCAAAAAAAAAAAAAAAAAAAGTATATTTTACAGAATTAGCTTTTCAAACAGAGAATTTCTTAATCTCAGTATTTCCAAACCCTTGCCAAATTGGAAATGCAAGATTTTTGGAACACTTATTTGTTAATTTCTTAATGAAAACTAAAAATCACAATTTGAAAGCCTGAAATTCTCATGTCTATATACAATATCACCATATTTCTACTTTTTAATTCACTTGGGAAACACATAAAGATAAAATTTCAAGGAAAAAAGTTAATGCTTGAGATTTTATACTTCTATGATGTAGGTAAAACGTACTTTCAAGACTGATCCTCAAGACAGTCCGAAACAGCACTTAACGCAATTTAATATAAATTGTGGTAAGTACTCAGTCTGATGATGGTAATTTGTTCTCCAAATATATTACTTTACAGGTTTATCAATATATTTATCACAGAAAATAACAATTTCATTTAAAAATTTTCTTCTTTGCCTCTACAACTTCAGAGCCTGACTTCACTCTTTAATCTATAACTAAATCTATAAGGTACAAAAAATAAAATCTTTCCATCAACATTCAAAGCACCTTAAATTCAAGTTCACACAAAAATCAAGCAAAGTAAGCAATGGACATAAATTATACTTACGCTACAGTAATGCATGCTTCTCTAACCACCTGGGATCTGAGATCCTTGGCTGACAGCTTGAAAGCACCATCCAACAACCGCAAATGCTGAAAAAATCCATCATACTGCGCAGCTCCGGCAACAAGCAAAGAGCGAACTTTCCTGAGCTAACAAAAAAAAAAATGTTTTGCATAGTAGCAATATGCATTTCTAAATGAAAATAGTATCCACTTAAGATTTTTTAAAAATCTACTAATTAAACTCTTGAACTAAAAAGTATCAGAGCCCACTCCCCAAATATACAAATGCATGATTCTGTTAACATACATTTCAATCATGTAAGGGAAACTAATGTGTGGATTTTTTAAGTGGATTTTTTTTTTTTAATCATGTAAGGGAAACTTATGTGTGGCTGTTTTAACTGGATTTTTTTTTTTTTAAATCAGATTCTGATATTTTGGTAAGAGTTTGGAAAAATGTATCATAGACGCACCTAAAATGCAAGCACTGAAGTCTCTAACCTGTATTCTTTCCATAGATGACAACTGAAACTTACATGGTAACTTTCAGAAAAGCTACCACGTAAACACAAACAAAAACATATTTTAGCATTCGCTTTTTTTTTTTTTTTCCCGAACTTATTTCAGGATGATAATACATATGCAGAAATCTAGACTGAAAGCTTTTGTTCTTCTGAACTTTATTACTTAAGGAAAATGTTTTAAAACTACTTACCTGTAGTTTTTTTTAAGAAAACACACCCACCCAAGTCTGAAGTCAGATAAAAATATTTACCGCGTTAGTTCGTTGATCCCAATCATGTTTGTCATCTGAGAGAATTTCCCTGATTTTGTTTAACGTTTCTTCAAGTTCTCGACTAGAATAGATCTGAAATATTAAAAACACCAAGTTTTGTATCATTAATATTCCAGTTCACGTGATCAATGAAAACCAGCTTTAGGTTGAAAACAAAATTACGATTCTGAAAAATCTTCCCTTAATAGTTCCACAAAACCACATATCCATATCAGGTATAATTGCATTTTTTAGTAAGTTTGAGGGCATCATTGAGTAATGAACACTCATTTAAAAAGGTTCAAGAGTCAACATTTTCCTCAATGCCTCATTTTTTCCTCTTTCTCATGATCTCACCATATCTAGAGTTTCATTAACTATATTCTCTTTTTTAATTATTATTCAATACTTTCATTTGAAATTTTAGATAACCTGCTGACATATTGTTGTAATTAAATTTCCTTTTCTTAACCACTATTAAAATGACTAAAGTCTAGAAATAATAAAACTAAATGATATTCAACCAACAGATTTTAACCTGACATAACTTTGGCACGGGTACCCTCTTCCCCATTACACGGGTGTCGTGCTCTATGGGGATTTAACTGGCCTATGAGTTCACGCTGCAAACAAACGTGTACCTGGGCAATTCCAGTTGTTCTAACTGGCACAGTACACAGAATTTAGTAACGTGCAGAACTTGATCTTGTCATGAAATTAAAACTACAATCCCACGAAAATATACCAAACTGTCAAGGCTCTCCATACTCCCATTAAATACTTTTTAATAGTCATTTTTTTCATGCCCTTAATTATGTTTTTATAAGGCCAAGACGAAATTTTGTGTTTTCAAGTCAATGGTGTAATACATTTTTGTAAAGCTCCTGCACCAGATTTTTGCAAAACCAATTAGATTTGCTTTGAAAAACACTCCCAATATTAAACTTATTAATCTGAACACAGTTTTCTTCAAGTTAAACACAAGTAATACTAATAAACTTGTAAGAACATTATTATAAAATTAAATATTGAGGCATTGTCCTATCCCCGCAGCACAGCATATGAAGAATTTCTCTTTTTAACATAAAGACCTTTGATACTTTATTTCAAAATTATTTATGTCCTCCATAAATAGCCTTTATCCATTAGAGGGCAACACATGCACACATCAATAAAGGCAAATGCAATAATTAAAAGCACTAATACCAATTAGGGCAAACTATACGATGTCCCTAAAATATTAGGGATGAGCACAGTAACTGGAATAGGCTAGCAGATGAACAGATCCAACACTGCAGTTTTATAACTGTATATTTAAGCAATCTAGACTGACTTGATTAATACAAACACTGAATCTTCCCTTCAAATCAAATCCATATTTCCACATTATAGTTTTCTCCCTTACAAGTAAAATACACACAAACACAATGAAAACAGACACAAAAACGGAGCCAATAATGTACAAAGAACACCCACTTCTGACAATTTTCCCTTGCTTTCAGGAACAAGCTGTCAGATTTCAGGTGATGCATATTTTTTCTTCACAAGATTTACTGAAGAAATTTCTCCCTTTCTTAATAGGTAACACGGTCTCAAGAACACAGAATCTGTCTTCCTTCTAAAATGTCAGAGACTGTCCATCGCCAGACACATCAAGCTGGACAACAGGACACCCTTATTCGTAAGAATACTATGAATAATTTGTTTTGCCTGGCCAACAGGTCTAACCCAAATGCTGGGACTTGAAAATACAAGTTATTTGGGAAAAAAGCTTTCCCCTGCTCTCCCACCTCAACTCAAGTCAGATTAGTAAAAATGAGTGGGTCTTTTTTCCTCGACCTACAAAGTATTTCTGCCTACAAAAGCAGATCTAACCATCTTCACAAATAAAAATAAAGCAAAAGCGTGCATCGTGAGAAGAATCCTAAAAAATCCTTCTGGCATTTGGGAACTGTGGCTTACAATGAGTTTATGGTTTTCTTTCAAACCTCAGCAGCTCCAGAAAAGGTTGTATAAAGTAGGTCTTTGAAAATACAAATATCTGAGGTGACCCAACTGTGTAGAAGTATCAAATGCATAATTCCCACAGAATTTCCAGTTAAAAAGAATAAAAATTAAAACCCGATCTTTTAACTAAGAACTCAGCATCTGGCAGGTTTCATTAGTATTTAAATAAAGCCCTACATTTTAAGTATTACAAGGGATGAATACATTTATGCCAGACACACTTCATCAGAATTCAGACACTCTCATTTGGAAAATACTATCCTTGCATTTAAATCTATTTGCCTGTGCTAATGTTAGTTGGTTATCCCAAGAAATCCCAATACTAAATTTTCCAAACTTATGCGAACTTTTATTAACGGAATTAAAAAGCACAACCACTTTCAGCAGCTTCTTAGAAAAGATTAAGAAAAGCTTTAAAAAAAATGGAAAAATGACTTGAATATTCTAAAATAAATAAATAAAACGTAAGCTAATGCATAGCATTGCAAATAGCGTATTTCTGAAAACAAAACAAAAATAAGCATGCATAGTACCTTACCTGTACAGTAGGAACATCTGTAAATGCTTTAATAAAGTCATCTTCATCCACTGCTCCAGCCCCTCCTTCTTTAGAGGAGGCTACATAAGAGCAAAATACTGTTAGGCAATATCTAATGCACATCAAAATTTTCAAACTGAAATAAATATCATTAACCATACTCATTTTCAAAAATGCAATACAATGTATAAAAACTCCGTGCATTCTTCCTGTGCAAGATTGCAAGACCTTGAAATCTACTCTCATCTTGAATCACAGAATATTTTTTTTAAAGGATGAACAATGCTGAACAGTTGCCAAAAGATCACAGTTAACGGCATCATTTTATTTTTTCATTTGTTTTTCAGGTGGAAGTGTTCCAATCCTCTAATAATTATTTGCATAGAACTCTTTAAGAACAGCCGTCTGCTAAATGTTCCAAATTAAGCACACTATTTCAAATTACAAACTTCAAAGCAAGAGTTATTTACCATTCAAAGTTGTTCCTCAAGATGAATTGTTCACATGAAGACACGTGCCACAAGCTTTTAAAATTATTTTAAATCTTCAATATTATCTACATTACTCATTTACCTTGTGTTTCCCTGTATTCTCTTAAGGAGATAGGAAGTGTGAGGAAAATTCTTAAGGATTAATCCGTATTCTTCAATAATTAGATGGATAGATAATAAGCAAAGACAGGTACTCCATCATCAATCCAGTATATATTTCCTTCTTGGAGAGGTAAAAAAGATCTCTTAAGGGAAAAGGTGGAACAAGGGAACGAAGGTGGTCTTGTTCCAGCTCTTTCTGTCAAGGCAAGGCCAACCAATATGTGGTGTAATGTCCTGCCTAACTTACAGAACTTAGCTGAAAACAAAATCAGCCAGAGGAGATGCATGCATTTTACTACCTATACGACAAATAAAACACACCAGAAAACAAGTTAGGGCTGACAGATTCAGTGAAACAAAGAACTAAGCCTTCCTGACGTGGGGCACAAAAATCACATGCTTGGTGTCTGAATTCTCCAAGAATGTTTCATGGCTTACAGTCCTTGATCTACCATTTGCAGT